AGAGCCCTTTGGGCATCTGTGTTTTCAAGAGCGTTGGATGCCTTGGAGGCCTAAATTACACAATACAAACTGACTCCTACAGCTTGTCCGTGGCTCTCTTTCTGACTGCACACACTTGCAGCTGAATTTGTAGTTCTGCAGATGAATCTTTTTTTTTTTTGAGTCCTTGGATGAAGCTGGCAGAATTCTCTTCCCCAACAGCACTCGAACCCTCAGCCTCTCTGTATATTCTGACCTGCTAAGCACAGATCACACCAGCAGTCTATCAGAGCCCCATCCGCACTTGACCTTTATCAGCTATGATGGACTATCTTGCTCTTCCTCAGATGAAGAAGAAATGCTTTCACTGTTGTCCCCTACAACGTGCTTCTCCCTGTGAGAGCTGCCAGAGCTGGATAAATGAAATCTTTGAGGCTGAATGAGAACAAATAGAGGGCAGTAGGTGAGGGAGTTCATCACAGTTAGTCTCTCAGTGGCTGCTTCTCTTGCTGTCTTTCCTGCTTCTTTTTAACACCTTCGTTCAGAATATCTGCGGGGGTGGAATGCTAAACGACAACACACTGTGCAGATGTGGGAGCCATATTTGTCTCCCAGTCATTAGATGATGTTCCATCAAAAGGAGAACAAGTAAGAGAAGTGATTAGCAAGAAGGTCTTGGGGGGAAATGTGGTGTTGATTTTTTTTAGTAGTTTTTTTGGGGGGGGCATGACATCATAAGATTCACTCCAGTCTAGGCATTTGTTCAGCATTGAGAGATCTGCAAGGGAACATGTGTGGCATGTCTCTCTTTTTTCTCAAATGACTGAACAACTTGCCAAATTTAGTCTGGTTAAGAAAAAGGAAAGCCAGTGTGTCTGATGTTTTTTTGTCCTTTGTTCACTTTTTTTTTCAATTAACTTTCAGAAGTTGCTGTTAACTTCCAGTCAATATTATGTTTATATTTGACATAAGATTACGATATGAAATAGTGTGACAAAAACAAATCAAATCTGCACAATTTTCCACTTACACAAGATGTAGTTGATCAGTCAAGATGTTTGGTCTCCAAATTTTGCTTCTTTAGTTTAGTGTTTTAGTAACATGGCCAAGTTTTGTATACACACTTCTTTAACCTGAGATTAGCTCAACCAGTTTGCACTGAAGTCCCTGCAGTTACTGAATAATAAGCCTTAGTATGTAATAAGCCTGGGATTTTAAGGGCTTAATGTTGTTAGCAAACATTACAAGTCAGTAGTCACCCAAATCTGTTCAGCACAGTACCTGTTGTTTGCGTTCAGCTCATTAAAGTTTTGTTCATTTTTATAATTCACAGGTAAGTCATAATTTGTCCTAAACCACATTGACGTCTGTGCAAACTTATGAAGACCTGGATGCATTTAATCAGTTTGAGAAATGCTTTTATGGAAAAGATTTGGGTGACTATTGACTTGTAACCTACTGGATTTAAAATATTAAAAAGTTGTACAGATAGCCAGTTTTAATTCTAGGGTATGTATGTCCATGCCAGATGAACCGTGCAAAAATTACAGACCTTTTTTATTCAGCCCACTTCAGGGAACCATAAGTAATTGAATAATTGGCTGCTCAGTTGTTTCTTGGTCAGCTGTGTGCCACTGTATCATTTGCTCATGTACAAGAGCACAAACAAAAACTTTAGAATCGATTGTAAATGTGTTATTTTCATCTAGTGTCTATGACTGTTATCTCTGAATGTTATGTTTCTTTGTCATTTTGCTGCCTATTCATGCCCAGTCAGGGAGCAGCAGGTGGTTAAGTGCCTAGTCCAAAGGCACACTCAGTCAGTCCTGGGATTTGAACCCATAACCTTCCAGTTGCTGATTCATCTCTCATACAACTAGGCTACTGGCCTACAACCAGGCTGAACAAAAAAGTGTCAATGCCATTAAAGCAGGACATGTTGAGGCTGATTTGGAATCAGACACTTAGACACTTGGCCAAAACATAATAAACTGTTTCGTACATTGTTAAAAAGCAAGAACAGACTGGCAAGCTTAACAGTAGCAAACAAGATAGAAGGCCACAGAAAGGCCACAGTAGTGGCTCAGCGAAGACTTTCAATCATAAAGAAAAAACCCTCTTCAACTCTTGAACAGGTCAACAACATTCTTCAGGATGTAGTCATAGATGTATCAAAGATGACCATAAAGAAAAGAATGAACCACTAGTAAACCTTTAGGATAGAAAGGCCAGGTTACAAAAAAGCCTGTAGAAGTCTGAGACAAAGTTCTATGGACAAATAAAGATGAACCTGTTCCAGGCCTAGTAGAGCATCAACAGAGAAGATATCCACTGTCTGGTGATGTCCATGGAGATTTCAACTCCTTGACTACAGTAGACTGCAACCTTGTACTGAACATGGCCATTTTGTAAATGTTGTCCTATTAAGGTTGGCACTCTGCATTTTACCCACTGAGGTAATTATTTCATTTTAAATATAAAGTGCTGGGATACAGGATAAAAACACCAGAAATTCTCTCACTGCCAGGCACTCTGGGGCTGCGCCACATATGTATGCGTTTGTATGTGTTTGTACCCCCTTAACTGATTGTCCAGGTCAACACTGCTAAACAACACCAAGCATTAAGACTGTCACTGCCTTGCAGGGCAGCAGGACAGGTACTGCCAACAGCAAAGACATTTACCCTCAATTCATAATGTCTTGTAATTGCAGTCTGCTTGAGTGGCACAGGGCATGTGCTGTTATTTAGAGTTTAAGAATAATTACACATGGGTCAACAGTTTGCCTGGGGCGATCGCTCCTGCAGAACATTTATTCTACCCTTGACCTTTGTTTAGAGAAAATTACAGCATCTAATTGAGATTTATTGCAATTATAGCTTTTGACATACACTTTCAAATGGCACATATCCTACATAATTTTTTGTATTTTTTACTTGTAATTTTTTGCCTGAGGTCTACTTATGATGTTTGTGTGGACTAGTGTTCTCTTGTGTATCGTGTAACATGTACCAGTTCTCTTGATTTATTTTTTACATGACCATTTTGCAACCTTTTTTTATAAATTCATTGTTATTTTTGTTAGAACCCTAAGTCTGGAGGGGAATCCACAGGGCTATCTAGGCCTTCAGAGAAGGCGTAAGGATATCAGGGTGCTAGTAAATACACAACTGTAACTTTTAGTTCATTTATATTCAACATAATCTTGCTTGTGTTTAATCTCTGCAAGTATTACAGTCCTACTCTTATGTTTAGGATGGAAACAAAGTGGTTAAATTCCTTAGATGTAAATTCCTTACATAGAGCAGAAAATTGGCCATTCAGAGTTTTTCTTCATGGTATCTAGGTAGATAAGATAAGTGAGCTCTCCTTTTGGACTTCAGGAGCTAAATAGAAGGCCTAACACTTTAGATTAACCATCAGCATAATTACAAAGTGACAGAAGAATCAACCAATCAAATTTGGATTTCCAAATTTCCAATTTCATGAGAACGAATTAACATTTATGGCTTCAATTGAAGGCCTAGCTCTAATAGTCATATTTCTCCACTGCTTACATCCAAGCCAAAACCTCTAAGATCAGAAGACTTTATGTACAATACAGTGCAAATGCCTGAGGTCATCCTTCATTTATTCAGTTTCCTGTAAAAACAGCCTTTTTGTGTATTTTTATTAATTTATCAGAAAAAATAGAAAACATTTATTTAATAAAAATTACACAGAAGCTGTAACACCAATTTACTGTGTATTTACTGTGTGCGCCTTGCTTAAAAACCAGCTTAGACCAGCATAAATTCTGGTCTGGTGCTGGTCTAATGCTGGTTTAGCTGGTCACCCAACATTGTCATGCTGGTTGACAAGCATACCAGCATCTAAAACACAGTGTATGCTGATGTTGCTGGTGACCAGCAAAACATCTCCCACTGCACACCAGCACCTACAACACAACATGTTGTCACTGTGGGAACAAAGCCTCATCTCTCCAAAATGGCCAAATTACAATAAAAGGAAAGAATGTTCTTAACTTGTAATGTAAGTTAATGTAAAGATGTTTTAAAAGTAATTTTGGGCCATTTCTATTGGTCCATTCATCATGAAATTTTACCACAAGGCAAAAGGGTAACTGAAGTAAAAAAAAGAAAAATGTAAAACAACAGAAATAAAGATTGAAGGTTTTTGCACAACAGTAACTGTATGCTGGTATTGCTGGTGACCAGCTATGCTATGCTGTGCTGGTTTTTCTAGTAGGGCTATATTGCCTTAATTATAGCTTCCATTCTTTTCACAAGACTTACTTTTAGTTTTCCTAAAAAATCTGCTGGGAGAGTTTCCACACCTCCGAAGTTCAGTCTTAGAAGTTGGTTGCAATTTCTGCTTCTTCCATGTTCTGGTCAGTCCATTGTTTTGCAAATGTTCTTCCTTTTTGTCTATATCATTTTCTCAAGAACAGCTTTGTGACAGCTACACATCTTTTCAACCCCTTAGCATTGAGTTGTCTTCTCACAGTGAAAGGACAGACAGAAACCTGTGGATTTCTTCAGACCTGAAGCAAAAGTGGAGCTTGATTTTCTTCAAAATCTCCAACTGTTTTGACTGGAAATGAAATAAATGAATTTTGCACAGTACTGTATTTCTTTATTTTTCATCTGCTCAGATGCCTACTTTCTTGATCACACAGATGTGCTATTATTGGCTTATTTGCCAGTGTTTTCACTGAGGTGTGTGTGAAACGCCTGACAGCTCTCTCCTACTTGTTCACACTCCCAAGCAACTCCCCTCTCCTCCTTAAGTGGCCTCTTTTCATCAGCTCAGACACTTTAAACATTCACCTTTGAACTTTAAATAAAGTGTAACATATGGTACATGCTCTCATTAGGATCTAAGTGAGATATTCAGGATATGTCAAGAGTGGCCGCAGTACATTCGGCTCATTTTCTTGTTAACACCCACGCTTTACTGTTGCTACCCAAGAGATGAGAGGTGTTGATGTCTCTCTGAATGTGTGATCTTTCCCCATTCAGATATCGCACTTTCGTCTCGGAAGATGCCGGACCAAATACCTTGGTTGCTACGGTGCTGGCCAAAGACCCGGATGGTGATGGGATCACATACAAGATCTCATCAGGAAATGAAGAAGGCAACTTTGTCATTGACAGTCAGAAAGGTGAGCCAGCACTCCTTCAGAAAGACAGTCTTTTCTGTCTCCACAGTTCATGGTTATGCTGCATATATCCATCGCTGTTACTTAGCAACACTTACCCCTTTTCTTCCAACCCTTCATTTAGCTATTGTGTCTGAAGAACAAAACTGAACCCCCTCCGTTAATTAATTTTAGGCAACAGTTTAATTGTAATCACACAAATTGAGCAGATTGACAGTAACTCTGCAGTCCGCTCCAACCTCATTCACTGCATTTCATTCAGGAAAATGCTCCTCAGGTGATTAAAAAGCCTACTCTGCAGTTTCACTGACCTTAATTAAAACAACAACTGTGCTCCAGAATCCAGTGTTGGAAAAGTCTGACTTTAAAGTCTGTCGATTTGTTCCAAATAACATGCTTGGATCAGCATCCAAATCCAAGGTTAATAAGGTGGCATTTTTAAATTCAGTTACTGTATTTGTGGTGGTTTGAAGGTTTTTCGCTTTTGTTTTGTCTTTTTTTAACAACATTGACTGAATGCAGGGATAATTGTTTTTAAAGTGTATAATTTTAAGGCTGTTTTTGAATGGAAGTCAAGGATTTTGGCTCTGTATTTTCAGTCTATGTCTTTGAGCACTTTTGAGCATTTTGAGAGCTTGTGTTTACTGCAAGGCCAACAGATAAAGTCTTTATTTAGATGGCTATCCTACAGGAAGTCTGAAGGTCTAACATCCACTATAGGATGTTAGATATGTAGACTTTTATTTTGATTTGATTGCACCGAAGGTCAGGGCCAATCTGGCAAATTCCAATCAAAGCTGTTACCGTGCTGTTATCAAAGAATAAGAGTTCTCACTTTTTCATGCCAGCATATGTGAAGAAAATGAAATAAGATATAAACTTGTTAAGACAGCCTTTTCAGCCCACTTTTACTCAGTATTACTGTTCTTTAAATCAGCAAACACAATAGCGTAAATAATGACTCATTTTTTGACATCTAAATAACAATGCTTTGATATTTAGATGTCATCCATTCAGCTCTTACCTTGAATATGAACACATTAATACATTTCATTAAGATTTAGTTGGATATCAATTGTCTTATTTAAGTTTTTATTGTTCCATGTTGTCAGCTACTTTAGTAGAATATCCAGCTCTGTACTCTGATCAGCGTTGATTAAATAGGCCAAAGCTTTTTTTTACCAGATATGAAGCTGCACAGCAACAAATCAGGCCATATTTTAAGTATTTTGGACTTTTAATGAAATATAACTCAGGGCAAAAAGCTATAAAGAGATAAAAATAGACCCTAAGCTTTGAATGCAGCAACAACACACCTCTGCTCTTGTCATTCGACACTCGCAAACCACACTTCAAACGCACATGACTGTGTTTGCTGCATGAGGCCTGGATGAGAGTCCACATTGATAGTACAAGAGCAATTTGTGGGCGTTAGATGTGCAGAAATTTAGTGGTTCTTGCTTGTATATCACAGTTCATCTCTGATCTTGTGGGGGAAAAAGGTACATACTCATCAGTGCAGATTCTTTACAACCCACTCTTCCCCACACTGTGACCTGCCAGGAATTTGGGATCCACCATTTGAAAACCAATGGCCTATAGGAGTGTTTCTCAACCCTGGCCCTGGAAGCCTACTGCCCTGAGCATTTTAGTGCCTTCCTTGCTTCAATATGCCCACTTTAACTCAGTAAGGGCTTCTTTATGGACTGACTGTTTAGATCAGGTGTGTTGGGAGAAGGGAAAACACTAAAAAGTGCAGAGCAGCAGGCCTCCAGCACCAGGCTTGAGGAACACTGGCCTAAAGCATAACGTTCAAACATGTGAGAAGGAATCATTGTTTGTGATGAGGCACATTCTACCCATCTTTCAAAAGTTTATATGAAAGATTTTGTTCCAAAACGCATTGTAGCCGAATTTTTGTGTTTGATATATATAGTATGATATATATGGTTAAGAGGGGTTAACACAAATATCAGTTCTGTATTATGATGAAAACTGTTACAAATGTATATACAAGATTTTGGAGTGAAACTATTGGTTCTTCTATTTGTATGAATTTCTGTTGGTTCTTCAAGTAATGTCATGTCAGGATACTCTGAACTTCAAAACCCTTTTCACTCCAGGACCTATTGCTCAGTGTTTCAAGCCTATTTCATACATACTGCTGCTACGTAGCACCCCGCAAATCTTCTTTATATGGAGGTGCGGAGAAAGCCCATGTTTTGAGAGGAAAATGTGAGCTTTGGTGTATAGTAACATGTTTGACACAAATATCCATATGTATTATTATAATAGCCAACCAAAAAAGTAGTTAACCATTTAAAAACTACATTTTTGGCACAGAAGGTCTTTAAGCTGTTTTAATGTACACTGTGTTTGTTTATTTCTTTAAGCAGCCTAATTTGCCACATAACAAAAAAGCCCTCTTTCTGTTATTAAACTGATGATGTGCTATATGCTTTTGAATAAACCTTGGACCCACATAGCGCTAAAGCTTCCCCTCAAGTTTCCAAATCCCCTAATTTCAAACCCTTGATTTTCTTTCCACTGTTTACACTGAGAATCCCAGCTGCCCTTTACATTTCATGAACATTTTTTATGACAAATGGATCATTACATTACCCAGTATATTAAAATTAAGAGTATTTTCCATTTTAAAGAAATGAGGTTTCGCTTTGGCAGCAGTGCAAATATCCTGAAGAGGCAAAATGTTCAGCAAAATGAAATCATAATAACAATGATAAGTTGATTGTTATTGCTCAGTTCAGGTGATCTACGCATGCCTTAGCATTGCTTAAACAGGCGGGCTCCAGCTTCTTGAGAAGAGTCTCTGTCTAAGTCTTCGCTGGCTATTCCGCCCTTTCTTTTCTGCATAGATCAAAGCCTTCTTTTATTGCCCCTTTTCCATGGCTCGTCAGATCTCTGCCTCTCCTGAAATTCTCTCAATCATTCATTAGCATCTCTCTCCTCTTTCTGCCAGGCCAAACGGGGCTGGGGCGCTTGATGCTTGCCGGTAATTTGACTGTAACTCACAGAGGAACACGTTCTGTTTGAGTTAATGCTGCTTTAAGAATTCAAACCGCAGAGTCAATAGGATGATCAGGCCTGTAGTATTAAAGGCATAAATACAAAGAGTGCATCCGGCTGGGTGAAGGACATATTTACCAACGCTCTGGGAAATGTTTACGCCTATAATCAGCCAGATCATCTCCAGTACGCTGCACCTGTCAGGGCTTTTCTTCTGTATTCTTTATTTGTGGTGTTTTGATTTTCTTTTGTTCTTGGCCCAGCAGGCAGCGTGGAGTTAAAAGAAGTTCCATCATCTTAGCGCCTACCGGTGTGGGAATACATGAATAAATGAAAACGATTGGTTGCGGGATAGGCTAGACAGGCTGTTAACATTGTCTAATGGCTTATAAATTGACTAATTACTGTAAACGCATCAAACGTATAGCAAACATACATAGAACAAGGCTTTGTCTTGTCTTGAAATCAGGTTTTATAGATTACAGGCTTGTATAAAGTAGAATAATTCATAAGTGATGGGTTTTTCTGCTGGTTCTTTATGAGGAAAATTCATTTTGATGATGTTAGTTGTGGAAAAAGCTCCTCGATGTCATTTCATAGCCTTGGCTTTCTTTGTACAGACAACAGTGATCTAGCATTCTCTGTACAGTGGTTCTGGAATCTTTGCTGGATTGTGGCTGGTGTGGATTGGAAGCTTATATAACTTGGCTGGGCCGCTTCCTCCTGAGCTGCTCTGGCTTTGTCGAAGATGGAAGGGGGTTTGTTTTCGGTTCCTCCCTCAGTGTGGCGGATTTGGGGGTGAGATGTGATGGAATCTGGCGTGGGACGAGAGCCAGTGGCCTGTCCCCCTCCCCTCCTTCATATGAAGCGACGTTTGCCCATCCGCCCCCTGGACAAACATCTTCTTCATCTTTGATGTGTGCTGATATGTGCTGGCTGCTTCATCTGTCCGCATCCTGCTCTATGCGGGACACACATCACTGTAAAACTCACCCACATTCTTATATGCACTCATACACACTTAGATGCACTTCATCTCAGTACTGTATTCATATTTGTATTCAGCAGTTACATCTGTATACATCATGCATGCCTACCTACACATATATTCACAGGGGTGAATTGAAGGGGTGGCCAGCCACCCTTGAAATTTGATTGACCCCCCCAGATGTGAAAAGTCATTTTTCAATTTGAATTTATGCAGTTAATGCTACACCCACACATACACAAACCGTCAGAATAAATGCAGCTCAACCGTGACACCACTTTCAATTTAAACTATTGAATAAACGCAACAAGGTATGACCAGTTCAATCTGTAGTATTTATATTCTTTTAGGTGTTCTATGGTTAATTGTCCATATGAATGAGTGAAACCATTATCTAGCACTTAAATAGTCTTGCAGGGCCTAACGTAATCTTGGAACAAGTATGTTTAGGGACAACTATGAGAAATATTGGAGTAAATGTGGGTCGTAGAGTTATTAGAGTGGGAACAAACTGAATGTGGAACTTCATACTAATCCAGTGCCTTTTGAAGGTGCAGCTCAGGGGGCAATAATGTGGTCATCAACATTGTCTGATGGACAACAAGCCAGTTGTTAGCCTGTAGAAGTCAGCCATACAAAAATAACCCCAAAATCTCAGATTAAGCATGTAGCTGTGTGTTGCATGTGCAGAGAAACCATGTGGTAAAGTTACCTTTTGCAAATAGAAAACAGTTCCATTACCTACTGATAGAATTGAAAGTATGGGCCAGAGGAATTTTGGGGGCAGTTTTTTTAGGGGGCGTACCCTGTTTGTGGTGGATTTTGTCATAATCAAGCACCGAAAGTTTAACAAGTTGTCCCAAGGGGTGTATTCTCATTTCGAGGCTAGCACTAAGCCAGCTAAATGTCATTACGAAAACTAGTGAACTGTAGATAGGTAAACTATATAAAAGGTGGCAGTAGTAGGTAGTAGCTTTTTTGCTACCTTCAACTCACTCCAAGTAAAGCAGCTGCTTTTTTTGTTTGCTACTGGCAATAAGACGTTGTTGTGGGTTATAAGGGGTTCTGCTTTTTTGTAGAGATAGCTAATTTAGTTTTTAAAGCTGTAAAGTTTTTTTTTTCTTTTCAGATTTGCCTATTCAATAGAGATAGACAATGTAGTTAACTATACACTGTGATGATGATCCTCCTGTGTTTAACAGTTAAGGGTTAAAAGCTAATCTAGCTAATTTGAAAACATGATACCTTTTATTTGTTGTTGTAAATCATCATCTGTAACCAAAGGAGTGTTTTTTTTATTCTACGTTTTGGCCTCTGGTGATCTGTTTAATAAAAAAGTCACTTTAATCTTTAGTCTGTCATTCATGAGTTTCCAAATGTGTACCTCATGATAAAAATAGATTAATGTTTTTACTGCATTGGACATGTAAAGAAATGTAGACTTTACTCCTCCACAGGGAAATAGCTGGTGTTATAAACAGTATTATTGATTGAGAGAACACATTTAAATAGCTCCTGTGACAGGTGGAAATGGAAAACTGTGCCTTAATATCCTTAGTATTAAATTAAAAAAGAAGCAGTTGGTGTTCTCAGAGCAATGTACTGGCCACCCCAGAGTCCACACCTCAGCATTAGTGAATGTGTTTGGGTCTGAACTTTGGAGGTGTGGAAAAACAGCCCTGCAGATTTCTTTGAAAAGCTGAGCGAGAGTCTTTCAAAAAGAATGTGAATTATAATAAAGGTGGAGGTTTGGCACACTAAATATTGAAAAAAATATGTTTAGTTGTTGAGGATTCTGTGTAATTTATCATTAAATATATATGTGTTCTGAAAAATTAATAACTCATATTTGATGACTGGAAACTACTTGAAGGGTGGTATACAGTATACAGTAGTCACTGTATTGCATTGTATTCACAAATACATATGTAGTCCCTATGCCATACTAATATCCTTATACAAAAACATGTCAACTCACCTACCCATCCATATCCCCCCACACACCTTTATTCACCCTCAATCATTAGTACATTTACTGTATACAAAACTGTAAACAAAAAACACACATTCCCCTGCAAAACCCCCACCTCCCCCCCACACACACATAATCTGTGTTTCTGTCCATGAAATGTCTTTTTGTAAAATTACATTCAGATCTTTCACTGAAAGATTCACACACTGTATTTTCACCCTGCATGAAATACCAGAATGATCTTTTCATCTGGGTTTAGATGCTGAACTCAACGCTCAGCTCAGTGCATTCTTGGTGAGAAACACTGTGAATCAAACATATGTTTTTAAACGATATGTTGACCATAAATAATGCTATGTGTGCTGTTCTCTGTGCATGTGTCACATATGCTTGTGTATTTGTGCTTCTGTATCTTATCACCCACATATTGAACAACATTTTTGCAGGGATCTAGCACACATTGGCTTGTTACAGATTGCTGGTGGAGGCCCAACTCAGCCTACGGCACTTATAACCTGCAGTGGATACAGCTGTCTATGTCAATAGAGCTGACATGGCTCTTCTACAGCCACACACACTCACACACGCATGCACCATTCCCTTTTTTTTGCCTCAAACCTCATTGCACTGTGACATTGGCTGGGGGAGAATAATTCAGATTGAATTAGAATTGATTACATGTTCTTTTTTTACCCTGCAGTTGTGCCACAAAAGCTCTAGCGCTATGCATTAGAATCAATCCAGGGCCCTGGGATGAACGTGGCTTCTCCCATGCCAGGTCTGTGTCACAAGCTGTGCGCTTTCCTTTAATGTTCCCTCGCTGCGAGCTGGAGATAGCAGGCATCCAGATTATGAGAGCAGGTTTGAATATGCGGCGTCTGATGCAGCTGTGGGAGAGCAATGGAAACATATAGCAGCGTCTAGAAGGTCATGTATAAGCTGACTCCTGCTGTCACCAGAGATAAGCTGCCATGTAGTTAATGTGGCAACAGCCCACGCGCGCGGTTGGGTTAAAGATGCAACACATGCACATGCGTTTAGCATTACAGTAGAGTTTACAGAGTCTAAAGCCTGAAGCTTATGAGATAAATCTCACTACATGATGGTGTACCACCTTCCACAGAGCAGTCTACTTGAACCTCTCCTAGGAAATTCCCCAAGGGCCACAAATTCATCGAAACTCTCCCAGCTATTCGGCTAAGAGAGGCCACGGGCATGCTAGCCTACCATTAGCATAAACAGCACAGCCCTGCATTGACTGTAGGCAGCGCTCCAAGGACAGAGCTTAGGTTCAGACTACATCTATATGTGAGCACACTGAAGGCATGAGCAAAAGAGTCTGGAAATAGAAAGAAAGATGAAACTATGTCAGTATGAAGGGGAAACAAATATCGCTAATCACTAGCTTAGTTAAGATGATAGAAACTATGAGATCTCAAGCCATAGAAAGGGAAAAAAGGAGCTGGAATTTGGTAGACCAAGCACGTAGTAGTTTGTCCGAAGCTCAAGGAGATGGTGGGGAAGGAGTAGGCGGGGGGTGTTGGGTTATTTGACGCTGTTCATAAACACCTCTTATCTTCATCAGACAAGATTTAATTGAGTGCGTATTGCATTAGCGAGGAATCGAAATTCTTGTTGCTAATTCACTTTGCGAAAGTCCCTCAGGTTGAACCAGAGCTGACCTCGAGAGGGTCTAAAAAGTTAATGAGTTGGAGCCGGCCTTCGCCATCTTGTGTGGAAATCTTGAATCATTTTCTTATTTTCAAAGGCTAAACCTTTTCTCCTTCCTATTGTCGTGTTGAGAGATACACACTGAAATCTTTCTGCCCCTCCAGGCCTGATCCGCCTTCGCTCCAGCCCCCCTCCCAAACTGCAAGGGGTGGAGTACATTTTGAACGTTACGGCTACAGATGACAATGCCTCCGGCGGACCCCAGTCTCTTTCGGCCACAGCCCAGGTCATTGTTGGAGTGGACGATGTCAACAACAACAAGCCTGTCTTTGAGAAGGTACTGATATGTATTGCTTAGTTGTTGATTATGGGTATAATTTTGTTTGTACACATAATGCGCATATTATACGGAGGTTTTTTTTTTTTAGAAGAACTAATAATTGCACAATAAACACTGTTGAAATCAAATTACTGAGCATGATTTATCGTCTAAATTCAGTTTATTATTGCATAATATCAGCATTTGGTTCCTATATATTCTAGATCGAGTCAAATTTATTATGAGTTTAGTACTTCAGAGCTAATATGCGTTTAATAAGCCCCTTAATACTTCAAGACGTGTTCCATATTCTAAATATACTTTGACATATTAAAAAGTATTGAGAAGTATTAAGACTTTTTGTAACGTGCCAACAAGAGTCAGACGCTCGCGGTTAGAAAGCACAAATGAGGCTTTACTGGTAGAATCAAAGTCCAGGGGTCAAATCCAAAAGGCACAGCAGATACAAACAGACAAACATAACACGAGGCGAACAATCCAAAGAGGGGCAGTCAAAAGGCGTTGTCGAAAAACAGGCAAAAAGGTCAAAAACAGGAATCAGATGATATAAGCAAACAATCCAAAGGGCAGAGCAAAAGGCAGAGTCAAAAGAATGAAAAGTAATGGTCATTAACAGGATACAGACAATAGATATAACGCTCAGTGGGTCGCAACCGGATACAGTACCTCACAACTATCTAAGGCTAAAGCCTGGGCTTATAAACTAAACTAAGAAAGTCTTATGACCAACAACACAGGTGGGACACATCAGTATTCCGGTGATCTAGAGCACTGATTGGAGCATGAGGAAAGGCCAGAAGTCAGGTGATCTCCCAGAGGATTCTGGGAGATCGAGTCCCGATCCATCCTAGGACTCGGAGGATGCGTGACACTTTTAGTCATCACTAACTAGTTAAAAGCTTTAACAATACTCTAAAAATGATTATGGCCTTTTGGTTAACAAAAAAGTGAATTCTTTATAACCTTATGCTGCCTTATTGAAAACATGTTTAGCGTTTGTTAACTAATTATTGATGGCTAAAACTTTACTTTAGAATATGGAACACATCTTGACGTATTAGATACCTATTATGCTTACAGTAGCTGTGAAGCAATAACTCAATTAAAACAATGTACTTGACACTACTTAGAACCTATAATGTGAATTTGGGTGATAATTAATACTCAGTCATTTGCGTAACAATGTGTAATTTGCTTAACAGTGTAAGTGTAATACATCTTAATGCATAATGAATAAAACATTTAATGATGTCTAATTTGGGCTTTATTGAACAAAGAACAAGACCTAAAGAAATCCAGAATAATTGGTACTTGTTTAGGTTTCTAACCAAGGGTCAGCTTGACGTGTACCATATTAAAAGTATGGAACTTGCATGGAATTATGCATTAACTGTGTTAATCAAGTCAAGTAGATTTTGTCTTGATGCAGCTGTGCACAACCCCAGCATCCCTCAACAAGCTTCATGGGCATCACATAGGATGTTTTTTCCATCATGCTGGAAGATGTTTTACAGATGCTGAGTACTTTTTGACTGCTGACTACTTGTAGGGAGGCATTTAAAAATTGTAATGATAATCAAAGTTCATGCATATGTATCAACTTTAATCTCTATATTTGTCAGAAAAGCAAATTTCAAAGCTTAAAATTTAGGCCTATAGATCAAAATGTCCTTAATATTATGAAATGCATGCATTCCAAATGGACTGGTACTGTACATCAAGTTGCCAGTCCTACACTTGTTGACCATTTTATCATGTATACAGTGGTGCTTGAAAGTTTGTGAACCCTTCAGAATTTTCTATATTGCTGCATTATTTTTGACCTAAACCTTCATCAGATTTTCACACAGGTCCTGATAGTAGATAAAGTCAAATTAAACAAATGAAACAAAAATATTGGACTTGGTCATTTATTTATTAAGGAAAATGATCCAATATTACATATCTGTGAGTGGCAAAAGTATGTGAACCTTTGCTTTCAGTATCTGGTGTGACCCCCTTGTGCAGCAATAACTGCAACTAAACGTTTCTGGTAACTGCTGATTAGTGCTGCACATCGGCTTGGTGGAATTTTAGCCCATTCCTCTGTTATGTTGTCTGCTATGAACTGCTTGCTTCAGGTCATTCCACAGTATTTCTATAGGATTAAGGTCAGATGTTTGACTTGGCCATTCCAAAACATTATTTTATTCTTCTTCTACCATTCTTTGGTAGAATGACTTCTGTGCTTAGGATCGTTGTCTTGCTGCATGACTCATGTTCTCTTGAGTTATAGCTCACAGACAGATGTCCTGACATTTTCATTTAGAATTTGCTGGTATAATTCAGAGTTCATTGTTCCATCAATGATTGCAAGGCGCCCTGGTCCGGACACAGCAAAACAGGCCCAAGCCGTGATAGGTTGTTTCATAGATGGGATAAGGTTTTTATGCTGGAATGCAGTGCTTTCCTTTCTCCAAACATAACGCTTCTCATTTCAACCAAAAAGATCTACTTTGGTCTCATCCGTCCACAAAACATTGCTCCAATAGCCTTCTGGCTTGTCCATGTGATCTTTAGCAAACTGCAGATGGACAGCAATGTTCTTTTTGGAGAGCAGCTTTCTCCTTGCCACCCTGCCATGCATGCCATTGTTCAATGTTCTCCTGATGGTGGACTCATGAACGTTAACATTAGCCACTGTGAGACAGGCCTTTAGTTGCTTAGAAGTTACGCTGGGTTACTTTGTGACCTCATGGATTGCTACACACCTTGTGATCTTTGTTGGTGGTCACTCACACCTGATTGCCATCCCATTGATTGAAAACACCTGACTTTAATTTCACCTTCAAATTACCTGCTATTTCTTAAGGTTCACATACTGCTGCCACTCACAGAAATGTAATATTGGATCATTTTAATCAATAAATAAATGACCAAGTCTAATATTTTTGTGTCATTTGTTTAATTTGGTTTTCTTTGTCTACTTTTAGGACTTGTAAAAATCTGATGAAGTTTTAGGTCAAATTTATGCAAAAATGTAGAAAATTCAGACAAAAAGGGTTCACAAACTTTCAAGCACCAATGTAGGTGCATTTTGTAAGTATAATATGACAGTGACAGTAACATGTTTACAAGTAGTAAACACTAATGCTGATTGTAGTTGTGCATCATACAATAAAATAGAACTGCCATTTCTGTATCAATGCTGTACAGGAAATGATCAACCACTAAAACAATATTGGCTCAGCAGTGGCCCTATGGTGGCCCATTTCCATTGAATGGGCATCATGGGTGGCTGATGTATTGTACATACAGATGAATAATGTCTTGTATTGTAAACCCTGCAAAGAGCACGTCTAAGGTAGGTGTGATAAAATGGTCAATGACTATATGTACAAAGTATTTAATAAAGTGGGAACTCACAGTACTTACAGGTAGCTGTACATGGATCTGCACTTGATCCCATTCTCTACCCTATTTCTGTCTTTGTGCTTTCTCTCTGATGTTCCCAGCCTCCTTTTCTCCTTCTAAGTGCTTCTTTACAGCTTCTTTTCCCCTCTCTATCCTCATGAGAAGTGATTAGCCGGCCGAACTGCGCTATTCCTAGATCATCTAAGGGCCTTTTTAATTAAGTGTTTGAAATATTTGCCGAATCATCACGGGCCCACCTGCCCACTGATGTCTCAATTTAACGTGAGATGAGCGGGGCCCAGGAGGTCCATGGGAGGTCCCGAACAGCCTTAGTGGTGTGATGAGGTGAGGAGGCGCTCAGCGTTAGCGTGTTAACACTGTGGAACCCACTCTCCTCTGGGAGATGAAACTTCCCACTTGAGCTTCGCTTGCCAATGTGTGAGGTAAATTAGTGTCAGCCCTTGCTGAAAGAGAGGTCAGACAGCTTCCCTGAGGACACACGAGACGTCTCTGCTCCTCCTCAGTTGGAGGAAGCAGCGTGAAGTGGCAGAGCCGCGCCCTTCCACAGCCAGGAGGACTTTGGAGCGGAAAATCTCCAAAAGCGAGAAGAAATAGCGCTTTCGTACCGCTGCTTGGCTTGACAGCTATTTTTTTAGCCTCTTTTCCGTCTGTCCTGCGCTTCCTCCTTCCTTCTCTTTTCTATTTTTTCCCACACTTTGGCAAGCTTGTACCACATCTTGCATGTTTTTTTTTCTTTCTCTTTTTTCACCTTTTTCTTTTTTTTTTGCTCCTTTTGCTGTTTTGTTTTTTTGTTAGTTTTTTCATATTTTGGCAAGACTTTCCTGCTCTCTAAGGGGCATGCTTAGAAGCAGTAGGAGAGGCAAGAGTGATGCTTTTATGTTGTGTTAGTGCCCTCTGCTACCCCTCAACCCCCCCCCTCCCTTTTACAATCCCCCCAACCCCCGACCCCCTCCACCCCTACCTCCGGTGCTTGGCCCCCTCTGGTCTATGTGCTGCCTGGCTGAGAACCAGGCCATTCGTGTGCGTGAGAGAACATCAGTGGCTGCTGGCGATCCCCGGAGGCGGAGCCTCTCCCAGGCTGCGGGCTCGTTTGTGTTAGCGCCAGCCTTTCGCCCGCTTCTGAAGAGTCGAGAGAGTGCATGTGTGTTTGAGAGGCAGGAGTTTACTGTTTGAGGCCTGCCTCTCACGAGAGCACTGACTAACCTGACTGAGTGCAGAACACAGCCCCCAGTTAACTAATGGCAGGATTAGAAAAAGGGGGACAGCAGAAGGAGCGAGCGAAGGCCCCTTGTTATTAATTAAGTGTCAGAAGTAGCCATCAAAGGACAGGCTGGTGGACTGATTGGGGAATTTCTAGCCTCCTCTTTTTCATCCTATTTACTTATATGTTCATTTATTTATTTGCTGCCTGCTCTGGCGCTCCCAGGTCTCATTTGAGGTATACAAAGTCGAGTCATCTAATGATGAGCCGAGGAGCGGATTTTCTGTCTTTTTTTGTTCGTTCTTACACATACATACACACAGATGAGGATGAGGATGAGGAAGGTGGGTGTAGTGGAGCGTGGCTGAATTATCCGGGCTTATTTCTGGAGTCTCCGAGGATTCAGTGAGATGGAATTGATTCAAGGACGCTTCAATTATAAAACACAGATGAATCTCAACAGAACAAAAAAACAGGGATTCATAAGCCACAGCTTTCCTTTCTCCACACCTCCTTTGCTCTCCCTCTTTCTCTTCCCTCTACTTTGCTTTTCTTTTCTTTCTTTTTCACATTTTCTAACCTCTTTGAGACAATTCTCTTTTCCTCCTTGACAATTTTTGGTTCTCTTTTTTGTTGTAAGAAATTGTCTGGAACATTTTTAAACATTAAGATATAAACTAAGTAATTCAGAATGGTTTAACCCCTTTAAAATCCCAGGCTTATTACATACTAAGGCTTATTATTCAGTCGCTACAGGGACTTCAGTGCAAACTGGCTGAGCTGTTTTTAGGTTATAGAAGTGTGTAATAAAACTTTGGGCCTGCTGGTGGGCCCTGGCCATTTAAGGGGTTAATGTGAAATGGATCATTGTGGAGAAATTCAGATTTCTTTACAGTGGTGGTGATAAGAATGAAAGGTTGTGATATCTGCAACACAAATATAGCCATTTTATTTCCTTTTTTTGTATGTCATGTTGATGATAATAATAAAATAATGGCAAATCTGAAAAAATTTTCTCTGGGGGCTGTTTTGCCTCACAATGCCCTGCATGTGCCTTTCCGCCATGGACATATTTTAAAAAAAAATGATATTGTAGCCCAAAATCTTAACAAAACTTTTGGAAAACAGTGTCTCAGGCATCAGACAGTGTATTCATAGACATCTCATGTAATACCTTTCTGTTAGGGAGCGTTTAGAGGCATTAAACTCTTCAGATGTCTGGTTTCTATTACTGCCATTTTAAAGAAATCTGAGTTGATATCTCTAAACTGGCACATTTCACATCAAACCACTCTGAATGACACTGAAACGTTTCAAACAACAGTGGAATTCCACTTAAAATATCTTTTTTTACCTCCTCGTCATATTTTTCTTAGTGAATGGCTGACAGAAATCCATTACTAATATCTCAGAAACGAGAACTCTATATGAGGGAAAATCATTCGGTCACACTTTATTTGATGGCTACCTATATAAGGACTTCATAACACATTTATTAGCATACTTCAGCATTTATGATGAGTGTATACCAGTAATCACAAGACAGGTTATTTATCACAGAAATGACATTGACGTAAAGGCCCTTCAAGTAAAGCAACATTTGGTCCATTCATAACAGTTTTTAAGAGTCATTCCCAAATAGTAGGACTTAGAAGGCATAAGCCTTGCATTAGTTCTATGGAAGACTTTATTGCGCTTAATCTTAAATGATCATTTTCACACATGTGAATGAATATACATATTCTCATAGAAAAACTCTGCACTTCAGTAATGTAAATATAAATAAAAAATACTAAAGACTTTACTGTAGGTTAGTGTTCATAAGGCTACATGACACCTACATAAGGCCTTCATGACAGCTGACATATAGCTACATAAACACTCATAAACACTTATTCCAGTAAGCATTATTTCTCATTAAGGTTGCATTTGTCAACTTTGATGTCAATTTGATGTAACATCTAAGTCAAGTGTCACTGATTTTCCTCTGACAATGTGTCATGACATTTTCTGGGGTAAAGTGACATAGGCTTTGCAGCTCACTGTGTGTGACAGTGACATAATGCTGATAATATGACACAGCTTGCCATGTCTTTTTTGAAGCCCTCAGGTAAAGTGAGTTTCATTTTATCATTTATAAGATTTAAGCCTTAAGCGTTTGTGTTGTCACTGTGATATTTATAACTACAAAGTCACTTGTTATAACATGCTATGACATTTCAACCAAAAATGTCATAACACAACTGAATTTCCGAAAAAATCAATGTCACCTGATACAGATGTTGACAAAAGCAGTCTTTATGATAGACAACAGTCATGGGAATTAGACTTTATAAATGTTTATGTAGGTTTCTGTCAGTTGTAGATTTAAATCAGGCTTATGTTGGTGTCGAAATGTCTTATGAACACTACCCTACAGTAGTGATATCACAAAACAAAGTGATTTTGATCATTCCTATAGATTCCGATTGGTCAGTTCACATGAATTGTTCACTGCCATTTTTCTTTTATTTTCTTCTCTTGAATATTTACCTACATTTCTTCTCAATTTAGTCATGACCAATTCTACCCCCTAGCTATGTCTCCTCTTATCACACAATGTGGTCAAGTTGGAAATGTGAAGGCCAGCACATGCTTCCTCCAAGGCATGTGAAGCGCCATCACATCTTTTTGAACGGCTGCTAACACAATGTTGTTTGACAGCTCATACAGGTTAGCGTGTATTGGCTTGCATCACACTGAGGGATGGGGGAGAGGGAGGGCCATCCTACCCACTCAGCAAGAGAGAGGACTGTTATGCTATTGCAGAGGCCCAGCCATGTATGGATCGAACTTGTGATCTCCCGATGACAGGGAGACAGCTGAACCTCTCAGGAGTCCGAGCTGGCATTTGGGTGTAATGTAGTAATAATAAAATAAGGAGTGGCAAGTTTTGAAACTGCATTTTTTGCCAGATTAGGACAGCCTCTTTCCTTTTTGGCCAAATTAGTTAAATTAGTTCAATAACTTTGGATCTGTACTTTATTATCATTAAATGGTGGAGCTTCGTCTAAGATTAAATTGCTTTTTATTTTATTTCATTTTTTTATTGTTCTTATTTTATTCTCTCACTCTCTCTCTCTTTTGCTTTCACTCTCTCTCTCCCTCTGTCTCTCATTCTGTGTCTCTCTACCAGTGTCAGCAGTATAAAGAAAGGGCATCCGTTCCGGAGAATAAGCCGGCAGGGACGTTCGTGCTGCAGGTGCACGCTGTAGACGCAGATGATGGAGCCAATGGGAAAGTGACATACGGCTTCATGCACAAAGACAGCACGGTCCCTGCCTTCAACATTGATCCTGAAACAGGTACCGCAGACCAAATGCCTTTCATTCAAGACCTATTTCAAAGTCCAATTTATATCCTCATTTTTTCCCCAATTTTTTTCAGGGCTTCATAACAGTCAATAAAACCTCATTCACTGAGTTTACTCAGATGTTGAATTTGCTAAGTACAACTTGAACAGAAATAAAGTTAAGATAACTCAAACAGTCAGTCGATTTCCATTAATCATTTGAGTAAACTTCTCTGATCTAGTTTAACTGTGTGCTGTAGCATAGCGCCATTCTGCAAATGCCAAGACACAGTGTATTAATTGTTTACAGAGACAGAACAGTCACATTTTAATCTTAATATTTTAGAATGACTAATAGTCTCTGGTTAATAATATCTTTCTTTCATTACGTTATTCTTTTTCTGAGTTTCCCTGTACCCATCTTTTTCCTTCTTTCCCTCTTTTTCTCTCTGCCTTTCCCTCTTTTTCAATCCCCTCCTCTGCCAGTGGTGCATAGAAGTCATACACGCTGAAGTGTTTTTGTGAATTCTAAAGTTCAGGCTAATTCACTTTAATCACAGCCTTTTAAAATGTGCCAGATCTCAAATGAAAAGAAAAGACAGCATTTAGAACCTTCTCTCAAGCCATCTTTTATGAAAAGAAATGCTTTATGAAATGTAACTGCTCATTGGGCATCAATCTTCCAGCCTTTTAAAAAGGAGGAGGAAGAAAGGATTGGAAAAGTGTGTAGTGTTTGAAATGACTGCTCGAATTGAAATGCTTTAAATGTCAAAGCATTCAACAGGCATATTAAATCAGTTAATATATAAATACATATATTAATAAGAGACACATACTCTCTCTAAAGAAAAACGAATAAAAATAGAGGTTCCCAAATAAATCTTGGTGGTATGGATGTATGGTTGAAAACTGGTATAGAACCTTTGCTTTTATTTATTTTTATTTTTTTTATTTTTTTTGAGGTTCATGTCAAAGAACACTTCTTGATCCATTTGGCACTTTTATTTTTAAATGTATATAGTACAGTACAAAAGCAGAGGCCATCCTTTTGTTTATTCAGTTTCCAGCCAAAATGGCCATTAGGTAAAATTTCTTTATTTTTCAGCATTTTTCAGTGTAACTGTCAAGAAGCCCTTACTGAGAAAAGGAAAAAGAGAACATTTGGACTAGGACCTGGCACTAGGACTCTGAAACCGGGCATCTGATGGACATCTATGGACTGATGAGTCTAAATTTGTAATTGGAGTGATTTGGATTGTGAGAAGCAGAAAGTGTAACCAACTTCTAAGACTGAACTTCGGAGGTGTGAAAAAAGTTCTGGCAAATGTCTTTGAAAAACTGAAAGCAAGTCTCTTTAATAGAATGGAAGCTGTAATAAAGTTAAACAGTAGAGACACCAAACATTGAAAATTTTCACAATATATTGAGTTGTTGAAGCTTCTGTGTAATTTTCTGTTAAATTACGTTTTACCGTAACTTCTGCTTAATGTCTGTTTTGATTGTGAATTAAATAAATGAAAAGATGGTCTCTGACTTTTACTTAGTAAAGTACTTCAAGTGCTAGGTTTAAGAGCAAATATATGTTTACTATATATAATAAAATCATAATTCAGTCAATGCTGATCTTATTGTCTTACTGTTAGTCTGGTTCTCATACCTTCTACTCTTCTCCTTGGTGGATTTATTCCTTTGCTTCAGAGTGAAGCTGCTGATGTGTAATTGGTCAACATTAGCTCTACCCATCAGCTCTCCCAGTCACTGATTGTGACTGCTTCTAATGTTTCATTTTTCACCTCAGCTCCACTCCCTCTGTTGTAGGTGTGATTGTGACTGCAAGGAAGTTTGACCGCGAGCGTCAGAGGGAGTATGCAGTGGCGGTAACAGCCACTGACCAGGCCGCTGACCCTCTCATCGGCATCTGCCAGCTCAACATCCTCATACTGGATGAGAATGACAACAGCCCGAAGTTTGAGAACCTGCGCTATGAGTGTGAGCATCATTCTTCTTTATTCATATCAGACACTACATAGAGAAGACATAGCAGCATATTGTTATGCCTGAAAGGTACTGTTTCAGTTCAGCATGTTCACTTTGTGATCTGTGATGAATGTGCAATTTCTAAATTTGCATTTTATTTGACCTTAGGGCTTGATACCATTCACATGGAACAGACCTCAAACCTGCAAAGTAGCAATGCACTTTAAATAATGCTTCTGATATATTAAACTCAGCAAATAATAGAAATTGTGTACTGAAATGTGCAGAAAATGTCATATTTATATTTATTCTTGTAGAAGATTTCCTCATTTTCACAAATCTAGCTCTGAAGAGGTTGAGCTCTGAAGAGGTTCTTCACAATCATGTCTCATCCACTCAAGATTCTTTTGTGGCAAAGCCTCAAAGAACCCTTTTTGGTAATTTTATTGTTAAGAGTGAAAAGTATAAACTGAATGCTGTGATTATATATATGCCGTATGCTGTTTTCTTTGCTCTGTAACCACATACTTGTTGTCCCCCATGTGTCTGATTGGGATAATTTGTATTCTGTGCTCTGTTCGGACAGACTTCTTGCGAGAGGACACCATGATTGGCACCAGTTTCCTGCGAGTGGCCGCGCATGATGATGACTACAGCACCAATGCTGCCATCACTTACTCCATGTCGAAAGAGCAGCCCGAATACTTGCGGGTCAACCCTGTGACAGGCTGGGTTTACGTCAACCAGCCCATTTCGCAGGTCAGCATGTGGTGTCATGCACACTTTTCTGTATCTCTGAGGCTGGAAGAATATAGATCTCCAGGGGTTAGAGAGAAGATGGATTACTCTCTTACTGGTAGACAGTAATGGCGAATAAAGGGAATATATATATATGTATATATATATATATATATATATATATATACACACACACACACACACACACACACACACACACTATATTGACAAAAGTATTGGGACACCTACACATTACACCTGTGGGAGCTTTTAAGAAGATGGTCGGGTCTTTGAGTTGGTTTACAGAGAGTTTATCACAAGTAGGTCTCTCCAACCGAAGTCCTATTGCTACGTTTATGTTCAATCTAAACTAGTACATCTTTACATGTTTCCAAAAGTTTTAACAAGGTGGACAGAATGTATGCACTTGGAAGTAAACCTGAGCAAGGTTTAGAGCTGGGATCACTTATCGAAATCAGTAATTATCAGTAAGGAGGAGTTAGGGAAATGCTTTGTGTGCATTTGCAGTTTGTGCTTCGATCTGTGTTCTGACACTCCAGTTCTTGTTTTATTACATTTACATATTCAGCAGTGAGTTGTCCTGTCACACTGGCATGCAGCTGCATGGAGAAAGCATCAACTAAAACTGTGTTTATTATTCACTTTAATACTTAGTTGTTGTGAGGTCATTTCACACAGAGTCATTTTTACAGATGAAGAACTCACTGAACTTTAGCTTCTTTAGACAGAAGAGGAAGAAGAAATCGATTCATTGAGCAGTAACAGTGATAAGTTATGTAAGAAGTTTTTTTCCTTTTAGCCAGTGTGACTAGGACACAGGGTAGGGGCCCATTCTGTTAACCCCTTAAAATCCCAGGCTTAATGCATACTAAGGCTTGTTATTCAGTAACTACAAGGACTTCAATGCAAACTGGTTGAGCTATAGAGATGTATAATAAAACTTTGGGCCCAGCGGTGAGCCCTGGCCTGTTAAGGGGTTTCAAAGGTTCTTCACTGGCTTATAGGAGCTGAAACTCTGCTGTAGGACTGTATATGTGGTTAAGCGTGAGGCTGTGCTTCAGCTTGGCGCTCAGAGAATTTGGGGAAATTTGGAGAAAGAAAGGAATGATCAAACTACAGGAGCAACCGTGAGCTCTGATGTGAAACAAAGCTATTTGTGTTAAAGGAATGGATTGGCAAAAAAATCTAATTTACACAGTTTTCACTTACCCCAGATCAGCCGAGACATGTTTGGAACACAAATTCATGACGTACTTTGAATTATAAAAAGAAAACAGGGTCTTGTTTCACAAACCACCTCAGGAGTAGGAGTGGTGATCTAGAATCAGTATTGGTGACATTGACCGTCATAAATTTAGAAGAATCTGGTCCGTGATCAGTCCTGCCTTGTGAATACTGGCCCTGGTGTTGTCAGAAATGGCTTTTGTTCTTTTTTATAGTTGAGTTTTATAGTATGTCATGCTGTAAATCACATTAGTAAAGACATGGAGGCAGTTTGAGCGAGTTGAGAGACGTTTTGGGGATGTATTTGTACAGAAACTGACCATTTCTTTAACATTTATGTTTTAAAACTTTAATGTCTGACTTTAAATTAGACTGCAAATTGAAAGATATACAGAATATGTTACTATAAAATACCTGTGGCTTTAAATAAGCACAATTATATTGATCGATATTGATATTGATAATTTTGTCTTGAGCTAATACATTTTTCTAAATTGCTTATGATCCTAGCCCTAGCAAGGTTGGAGATGAGAGCAATACTTTGCATTGTGAATCTCAAAGTAAAAATTATATTGTTAATAAGTCATTAACTACTAATTATTTATATATTAAGTGTTCATTAAGCATTATTCATTACTTAGTAAGTGATTATGTACTTATTGTTATGTACTTATTGTTAGTAATTGAGTACACTGTTAGCTGATAGCTTAGTGTGTTCTTAGTTCAGTGAAGGAGCAATACCTTAATTACTGTCTGTAAAGCAATATACATCTGCTACAGTCTTATTAATAAGGTATCTGTAATGATTGTTATGTTTTTGGTCCAACATGACAAGTCAAATTATCATCAAAGAAAGAAAAAAAGGATAGAAGGAGACATGAAGTCGGAGAGAGAGAGAGAGAGAGAGAGAGAGAAAGATAAAGAAAGAAAGAGAGAGAGAATTAAACCTGTTGAAACGAGAGCACCTCAGAGAAGCGGTCTCAGTAAGAACAGTTGCCATGACTACCAAGGGTGTATAGTGAGGGGTAGAGGGGTGTGCGCGTGTGCGTGTGTGTGTGTGTGTGTGTGCGTGTTCGTCCGAGGAGGTCAGCTTGAATTTGTTTTCCTGTCATCACATCAGACAGCATGCACACTTCTGTTTATACAAGCCAGAGTAGCACCTCCACAGGGAGTCCAGCAGACGCTCTTTATGCTATCTGGCTAACTCACCTCTGACACTTGCTGTCCACTGAGCTGACAACATGTGAAAAACTGATACTGTTCATTACGAATGCAAACAAACTACCATTTCAAGTTGTGATTGAACATCATTTTAGCTGCACAATTAGGCACTAACTTTATGTCATTGTGACATTAAAAAAAAAAGAATAATAAATTACCAGTATACAGAGAGGCTTGATCACTCATCAAATGTCTTTAACACTTTATATTGCTCATGTTTAATTGCAGAGGACCTACATTACCAGAGAAATCATAGCCACGGATGGAGGGAACCGGAGCAGCTCGGTGGAGCTGGCCGTCACCATCACTAATGTAAAAAACCAGCCGCCTCAGTGGGAGAAGGACAGCTATGAAGTGGTCATTCCAGAAAACACCGTCAGAGACACGCCTATAGTGGTATGGATCTTTTGTGCTGACTCTTGGAGATGACCTACACTAGTGCTGTGCAGAAGTCTTAGGACTCCTAAAAAGATGACACTCAAATTGACTGATTATTTGCTCAGAAAAGCAGACATTAAAATAAATATAGACACAATATATTGTTGTCAGTTAAATCTCTCCTCAAGACAGCCAGACATTTGTAGTTAATGTCCAATTCCTGATTTGTCTAATCAATACTTCATCAAGTTATACTTCATTATGTTAAATCGGATGTGCTGGTGGTGGAATTGAACAGTCCATGCAATGACTGAAGTGCATTGAGGAGAAGATGAACCAAATCATATTTATTCTACTTTTATATGGTACTTTTACAAATATAAACACACTCACTGCCCACATAAATAGATTTAACCCCTTATCTTCTCAGGAACTGCCAGCTTAAGAAGAACTCTTTTACACCATTTTACACCATTATTCCATGTAATTACTAAATAATAAGACAATAATAAGCCCCAGACTGTCCAGGCTTTTACACTGCACTGTATGAAGAAAAGTATCCAGACGCCTATATTAGTAGGGAGCCGTTACCCTCTTTACTGCAGTAACAGCCTCTACTCTTTGAGGAAGACTTTACACTATATGTTTGAATATTGCTGTAAGAATTTGATTGCATACAGCCACAAAAGCATAAGTCAGGTCAGAACTGATGTTGGCCAATTGACCTGTCCATGCTCCATCCACAAATACTTGCATCGTAGGTAGTGTTACAAGGCATCCTTTATAGAATATAAACATAAATCCCTTTCGAAATAATGAATTTAGATTGGAGTTTAGATTTCCTACATTACATTGAGTTTGTTGTTGTGCCTAATTAAAGGTTCACTGTTGTATGTGTTTTTCCGTGACAAGGTGGAGAGCCCAGTGACAGATGCAGGAATGATGTCTTTTATTTAAGAGCATGCTCTGTGCATCTGCACCAACTCAGTCTGACAGCAGTCCTAGCATACAAGCTTTCATACCTGCAGCTATTTATGCATCTGCTAAAGATCAACTCAGTCATGAGACACAAACAGTAGACAATAACCCAGTCATGTGTCAGTGATTACACCATTATAGTGACTCTTGGGGTTTTGATCAGGCTGCCTCAGTCTTTAATAATTGATTATTTAGGAATGCACAGAGGCATAGCAACCACATGTCAAGGATGTGATTAGACATGGGTGAACGCAGTGTGAAAAATGGAGGTTTATTAGCATAGACCTTTTTTGCTGGTTTATTGTGTTCTCTGTACAAGTAAAAAGCACCTCTATCGGTTATCACTATGAAAACTTAAGTCTTAAGCCTTAAAAAAGTGACGGAAACAGCATATGAACCTTTCGTTCTGGCTTGGTTGCAGAAAATTTTTATAGATGTGAAGCACCTCATTGATCTGGCTTGTAAATAACTAACTAAACAACTAACTGACTATCTAACTCACTCTCTAACTCACTCACTCACATGTAGCAATCTAAAGATTCTCCACAAGATGGAGCTATTCATATGAAAATAGCTTTTGCTACTTTACATCAATGACACTGTATATTTTTGTGAAAGTAAAAGGAATGAATCTGCACAGGTTAGAGTTTGACCATCATACCGTTGATGGAATCAAGTTCACAAATTTATCCACAAAAGCCCCTCCAGCAAAGCACCAATATTTATTAATGGTTTGTAACTTACTTATTGTAAGCAAGTACTTTACATTAAAAAAGAGAACTGGTGAAAAGTATGAGCTAATCAGCAGAAACCAACCAAACCGCTGAAGTTCCTTAGTAACACAACACAGTAACAATTACATTGTTTCACGGTCAGTTAAATCTGTCTGAAGTTGCTTTTGTCAAAATTAGAACAAGTTTTAATTTGAGTAATATTTACATCAATTTGGCAACAGGTTCTATGAGCAAATTTGCCACTAGGCTAACATTAGCTGGATTATATGACAAACCAGTGTGACCTTTCACATACATGCAAGATAAAACATAACACTGGAAATAAATAATACGCTCAAAATGTTCTTATTTTGGCAAAAAATTTGCATGCTGCATTACTTTTCCTAATTTGAGTGTACAGCTTACAGGTAATAGATCATTTTAGAAGACCATTGCCAGAGCCTTCAGACCACAGCTGAACCTCTCAGCATCATGGTCAACAAAAGCAAATCAAATCAGATACATGTACAGTATCCTATATGTATTATAATTAGTATGTATTGTGAATGGAGGCGATTATCCTAGTCCTGACGTTAGTTATTTGACGTGTAGACAGGCGAGGCATGAGTTAGCTCGCAGACGCTGCGTTGTGTGCTGTCATGTTCTGTCAGTTACCTCAGACAGCCTCTGTTTTCCGCTCGACCACGCACACCTTGCTTCCCGTGCACACTCACTAGCATCTATTTCCATTTCAATTAATGACAAGACTCAGCTGTGGCTGCAGCGTTTTCTTCTTCCCAATAACTCAGCATTTACTGTGTGTGTGTTTGTGTATGTGTGTATATATATATATATATATATATATATATATATATATATATATACATATATATATATATATATATATATATACACTTATATACACAGGCACAGGCCTTCGTTCTATCTATATTTGTGTAGTTCCTGGAATAGCCACACATGTTCCAGAGTCCCTAAAGGCCGTATTAGTCCAGATCCTTCCTGTTAGTCTCTGCCTTCACTTCTATTTTTAAGTGAACCACCGCATTTGCTGACCAGAGATTCAGCCAATCACTGGGCTTGGATTATTCATGGCCATTTACTTTTTCTCTTTCATTCAGTTATGGGTGCATTGAAAATTAATTTGCTGAATCTCCTGCAGCTCTTTTATGAGCTATTAAGGCTATTAAAAATGTAGAAGAACATTTTACTAAATGTAGAATGGCTTGGATAGTGAGGTTCAACAGACAAGGATGAATTCAAAAAGGAGAGGAGAGGAAGAAAAAGACAGTGACTAATAAAGGAAGATCTGCATTTGCTGGTCTAATTGACCTGCGGTATAAACGTTAGTTTCCATGTTAGGAGAGGGGTCTGCTGGGTATCTGATTGATCTGGAGTGTGTTGTTCTAGTTGGATGCTCTGTTTTTGAGCACAGGATTGTGATTAACAGGGATATTGCCGAGTGTTCACTTCAAAAGAGAGAGGCTGAGTGCTTCCATGATTGAGATGAACTGACTACTGAACTCAAACGACCACTCAATTATGAATGCAAGCTCTCCCTTTAGGCCTGACTAATACAGTTTAGTATCATGCACGCTTTGAAGTCACCCTATTTTTTGTTATTAAACAACAACAATGCTGTAGTAGATTGTCAGTCATATTATTTTTAGATATGAAGCACCTCATGGATTTTACTTATAACTCACACATTCACATTTAGCAAGCTGAAGACTCTCCACGAGGGGGAGCTCCTAGCACTGGCTCTGACTTAGATTTCGTATGTGTCATTGAAAAGATAGAAACTGGCATGAACCCACATCAGCAGGATCTCTCTAGCAGCTAAACAGCTAAACGAACCTCATATGCAGTAGAGAAACCTACTGAATAGAGCATTTAATTTCATTGCATTGAGAAGCCTATGGAAAAATCTGTGGGAACAATATTGTCGCTGTCCAAAAAAAATATAGCTCCAAAATAGTAGCTTTACAGGAGAAGGCAGAAATGTTTTACTTTTACTTTTAATGTAAGTTAATGTAAAGAGGTTTTATTTCTATTGGTGCCTTCATCATGAAATGTTCACATTTTTAACGTAAAGGACATCTGCTGGGTTTAAATGAAGTAGACAAATAAAAATAAACATAAATACATGGAGATACATGTGTTTTTTGGACATCAACAACATGCATGCTTTAATATTTATATCTTAATAGCTGCATCATGGGTGTTTGACATTTAAATGCTGATTTAATTGGTGGAAAGCAGGATACACCCTCGTCTAACACAGCATTAAACATATACACGCACATGCATACAGACTTCTGATTGTTTGAGATTTTATTGAGCTCTGTAATAAATGTTTCTGGTCTTTTATCGCCCAGCTCCTTATTTTTATTACTGGGTAGGTTGACTATTATGCATTTGATGATGCTGCCACTGGAGTATGACAACAGCTGTTTACTGATATAGAGAATTTTCACTCTAACAGAGTAAAGGTACTTATACTGGTTGGCCTGTTTGATGAATATTTTTTATTCTTTTCGCATTGAGTTTCTACAATAAACACATTCCTAGGAGCTGCAATGCCAGAGCAGATTATATGACATTTGAGGTGCCAGATATATGTAAATAGATTGGCAGAACAAAAGTGTTAGAAGCCTAATGAGTGCATTCCCGGTCTGGGCTTGACCCCATGCAGAAAAGGAGCAACTTAACCATTTAGCTACTCTGTTCTGAACCACCTGTAAAATCCCTTAAATGTTGTGATTATTCTTACACCCAGTATTGTATACTAAATGTATAAAGCGGTAATGGCTACTGTCACAACAAACGTGCATCATAATAAGGAAATTATTAAGAAGTGAAATACACATTTATGTGTTTTTGTTCGTCTATATATATATATATATATATAAAGCTTTTCAAGGACTGCTGACTGTAATTTTATATTTTGCTATTTGCTTAAATGAGAGGATACAACAAAACTCCAGTCCAAGGCCATTTTAATAATAATTTATCACTTCTCATACATATTCCATACCATATCGATCATATAATGCATCCCTACTGCTTTGCAGCACTGATATCTGCATGCAGGTTTGTTCTACCTCAAAGTGCTGCCCCCTGTAACAGTGCCCCCTACCTTTTGCCTTTCAGACAGTCAAAGCCACCTCTCCGCTGGGTGACCCCAGAGTGACCTATAACCTGGAGGACGGCATGGTCCCAGAGACGAACATGCCTGTGCGTTTCTACCTGACGCCCAACCGCGAGGACGGCTCAGCGTCCATCCTGGTGGCTGAGCCGCTAGACTACGAGACCACCCGCAACTTCATGCTCAGGGTCCGCGCTCAGAACGTAGCAGCTGTGCCTTTAGCTGCTTTTACCACTGTGTATGTCAACCTCACAGGTAGGCATGTCAGTCTGTCCGTCCACCTGTCTGTCTCTGTGTGAAATGGCTCTATTTTCTATTTGTAGATTTTTTATTTTTTATTTTATTTTTTGATTTATCCATAGGTCCCTTATTATTCAGTTATTAATCTTAAGACTTATTATTGAGTAACTATTACAAATAGTTCTGTAACCACTATGAAATGAATATGTATGTTAAATAGTTATGAGAGTGAGGGATGGAAGTGTGGACCCATGTATGAAATTTGAGGAAAATTATGAAAAATCATTGTATCCCTTTATTCTATAACTGTGAGATGTCGACTTTGATTTGGATTTATACGATTCGTGCTCTGTACATTCAATGCCTTTAAATGTTGATTCCTTCACAACAACAGAGCCACATGTGTTTAATTTGTCTCCCACCTTATAATAACCAAGTGCTAATCCACCTCACTGTTTAATCCCATTGAAATCCTAATATACACTAATCCCTGCTTCTAATCCACTTCAGTTATACTCTCAGACCTTGAACTACCCTTACCTAATTTTAAAGCTCAGTAGCGATCATTCTTTAATATCCTATATCTTAGCACTCTGTTAGCCCTTTTCTGCTTCAATATTGCTCTGCATTTCTAATGCCGCGGGAAGTCGCTCTACCTTCCTATGTAATTTACTGGCTCTGCCCCACAGCCATAATCGGGCTCAAGTCATGCATGAATCTCTCGCTCTGTTCCATTTATGAGTACACTTTAATACTGATCTAGGATCAGCCTCCCCATCCGCGGCCCAATATTAATCCAATAAGAGTTTTATGATGAGGCTGCTTTTTAACTGCTCCTCTCCCCCTCTCCTAAAACGAGGCAGCTTGTCCGGACCCGGCGCCAATCTTTTCTGGAAAGCGCTCCATCATTCATGAGTGCACAGTCTTAAAGACTGACATATAATTTATCCACTTTCTCTGCTCACTTATTTACGCTCTCTTTCTCCAATTAAAAGCACAACCGGTAGCATATGAAATGGGGAGTCGGAGGGGCGGGAGGAGGGGATGATGAGGGGAGGAAGAGGGGAAGAGGTCGTAATGGATTTGGACCTGCTGTTTAATTCATGGATTACGACTTTGACTGGGAGAAAATTAAAAACCTAGAAGTGCATCAGATGGCGATTAGTGCCTGGGATCGTTCGACCCATTAAAGATCTTGCCCTAAATTCCACTGTCCTGACTTCCCCTCCATTACTGAAGGACGGCACACATTTCACCAGCCAACCTCAACAGCTGACTGTTTCAAAGTCAAAATTCCACTTAAAGTTCTCCTGGATTTACTTGGTTTGACGAGTCAGTTGCCATCTGCTGGAAAAGGCAGCTTGTCCAGTGTGTGAATCAAGCCAGGAGGGCCACTTTTATATCTTCTTGCTTGATTTCATCTCTATTTACTCTGAGGTCAAGGTGCTATATTAAGGTTGGCATCTAAAGGGAGAAAACAACGTATCTTTGAAGTTGCGCCATAACTCTGGTGGACGATAGGTCTCTCTTAACCCGTGTCAACAGCCTCAGCCAGAGCCGTGCAACCTCCACTGAACGACTAAATGAGGCTCTGAGTCCAAGGTTGACTGTTGAAGAAGGGACAGCCGTGTCTGTGGAAAATGACAGTTAACTTCAGTGCCTTGCTGCTGTTGTGGCTTGAAAGCAAGCAGAAATGATTGACAGACCATAGAACTGTGAGCATTAATAAAATTCTCTGTGAGATTTCATGACAGAAGGTGAAAGGCTGATGTGGTTATGTATGCTGTGCTGCTATTTATGCTGGATGCTACATAAATCAGCTGTTTCTTTCATTGTGTGCGCGTGCATTTTGTGAACAGATGTGAACGACAACGTCCCGTTCTTCACCTCTTCCATTTATGAGGCTTCGGTGACGGAGGGGGCAGAGATTGGCACTCTAGTTCTCCAAGTGTCAGCCAATGACCTCGATCTGGGGTTAAATGGAAAGGTAAGTAATTCTATTGTTTTTTTTGTTCTGTTGTCTTTTAAATCAGTATTACCTGGCAAGATTTTGATTATGTCTCCTTCACTCTTCACAAATAAAGTATCCTAAATGGTTCTTGGTTTGGATGAACAGTTCTGGACAGAAACCTTTATTTAGTAGAGAACTACTTTAACCTTCTACAGCATAGTGTTGCCGTATGGCAACAATTACTTTATCTCAATTTTGCTAAAAAGCAGTAACATAAAATCTGTGTTTTCCTATTAAATTGTGCAAAAAGGGTCTTTTACTTTGAAAGGGCAAATACTTCATGACAGCACATGACCAGGAATTCTTATTATGATGTTGTCATTACCATACATTCCACATACCAATTGAAACTGTATTAATTTTCAATATTTGTAAATATTGGGTCATACATTTCACTAAGTGTAGGTTGGATTTTTTTGTTCTTGTTTTCAAAAAAGGATGTTTTAAAGAAAAATTAGATTTCATGGTGCTTTTTTTAGATTTTATGGTGCTATGGTACGATTGCGCATTGTTGCCATATGGCAACAATATACAAAGTTCCCCACTTAATTTTTAGAAAGAAATCATTTTCAAATATTTCCATTATTTAATTTATTAAAATTGTAAATAACAAAAACATATAACATAAACCATTTTTATCATATGTAAGTAATAATTCATGCAATAGAGGGTTAATAGAGGTGACCAAAAGAGTTCTGAATTTAAATTATGTGAAAGTTCTTTAAACTTTAAACACCTCATTTGCTTTTGATAAAGAACCATCCACTGAAAGTTTCTTAGGGAATCAAAAGTGGTTAAACTACTATGTCAAGCTCTTTTGCACACCTTTATTAGAGTATTTGTGCCATGTGCATGTCCATGTTGAGCAGTAAAACGGATCAATGTGTAGTGCTGGAGCTTTCCTTATGCTGTCATGGTTTCTACTGTTATATAAAATCAGCTCCATGCTGTCTTTGTTGGGGGATGCACTGTGAAAGTTTCTCAACAAGTGTGCACACACATTCAGAATGGAATTCACATACCTAAGGACTTATTACTGATTTGTTTCATAAGAGTAGCAATAAAAATAACTGATGTGTGAAGTATAGCACTGTGCAGAAGTCCGAGACCACCTTTTATATATTTAATTTCCAGTCAAAACAGCCATTAAGTACACATTAATGTCCGAGAAAAAAGAAACATATTTGACAGAAAATTGCACAAGAACTATGATTTAAGAACTATTAAATCATTTATGCAGTATTTAATATGTCCAGCTATGCCTTTATTACAGCTTCTATTTTTTCAGGAGACTTGCTTTCAATTTTCAAAGAAATCTGCAAGTATCTTTTTCCGTACCTCCAATGTTCAGTGTTAGAAGTTGGTTGCATGTTCTGCCTCTCATGATTGAAGTAATCCTGAACACATTCAATGATTTTGAGGTCTGGACTCTGGGGTGGTCAGTCCATTGTTCTGAGAACACCAGCAGCTTCTTTGTTTTATTTGAAAATGTTCTTCTTGTCTATTTCATTTTCTCAGTAAGGGCTTCTTGACGGCTACACATCCTTTCAGACTCATCGTGTTGAGTTGTCTTCTCACAGTGGAAGCATGGACAGAAACTCCTGTGGATTTTTTCAGATCTGAAAGCGAGAGTGGAGCTTGATTTTCTCCTCTCTCTCAAAGATGAAAGCTTTAAGTCCGATGGGGAGAGTTTTGGTCATCTACCAGGTCTTTCATGGTTGTAAGGAGTCCAGTTTTTTCTTTAATAATTTTTTGAAATCCAGTTTTCACTTATTTTGGACACTTTGACTCTCCCCTTTATTATGCAAGTGGATTATCTAATCTCCCTAATGTCTAATCTGCTCAGAAATATTGAGTATAAGGGTTGTTTTTAAATTAAAATAAATGAAAGGCGGTCTCTGACTTTTGCGCAGTAAATGCATTCAAAGTAAAAGCAATGACACTATTGAAAGACCACATTAAGGAAGAAGTCTCTTTTTCTCCTTAGCAATAAAGTGACGCTTGTCATTCAAGTGTTTACAATGTCTTTGTAGGCATGAGGTGGAGTTGACATATGAAGAAACCAAGTGTTTTCAGTGTTCACTTAAGGCCTGTCATTGCAGCGCTCTGATTAGCAGCATCCACTGATACTCAGTAAAATCATCCTGTCCACTGTGGTAAAGTGGGATGGTGGATAATGACATTGCTTTTTTCTGCTGTCTTCTAAATCAGATGCTTGTCATTAATGTTTGCAATGGCATGAGATAGAGTTGACATGTGAAAAAATCAAATGCATTTAGTCCTCATTCAGTGCCTGTCATTTACTTCTGCAGTGCCATTCTGATTAGTAATGTACTCGCTGTTCAATAAAATCATCCTGTCCACTGTGGTTTGAATGTGGACTTACTCCGGCTATTATCAGCAGAGCCTGCCATCTTCCATGGCGTCTGCACAATAAATTGCTGACAATTTGAAGCCATTTAAGTGAGGAAAGAGAAAACCAAGGCTTACCGCTAAGTCATCAAAAGAGGACTCATAAGGCATGAGTAATGACACGTACGCAGTTAAAAGCTTTGTCATGGGCTCATTCTGCTGCAGGGCTGACACTAACCCCGGCCAAGTCACACTCATTATGCTCATTCTGCTGCCTCTCGATGGGGCAAAGCTTAAAGTACAGCCCCATCAGTCTCCTGTCCTATTATAGCTCGTTGTCTGATAGAAATTCTACATAGTGTGCATAAAGAAATGGAGTATTAAATCCTAAAAAAAAGCACCACCAACACTCGTGACTCTTCTTTACCCTTTTAATAGAATTACTTGAGGAATGGCGTGGCGTCTGGCATTGGGGGGTGGGGGGGTTGTGATGAGATGTTCCTGTCTCTGTATGCACACTGTCCTTGGCTGCTTAATTGCATGCTCTCCCTGAGCAGCTTTGCAACAACCCCGCTGAATCATAGATACCATGCAATCCCACATTTAGATAATGAGTATCATTTGTGGGCGTGAATACTAATATGATTTTTTGCTTTCTTTTTATTTATTTATTTATTTTTTTTTTTTTTTGCTGTTTTTTCCGGCTTTTGCCGTAGCAGTTGGAGATTGCAGCTTGTTTTAATAACCTGACCCCCTACCAGCTTTTTATTATGGCATTTACATTTAATTCCACCTCTTATTTGTGTTCTCCACGCTAATTCGGCTGGCAGGCCACCATTTATTACACACACCATGCTGTTATAGTGGGGCCACTCGAAGCGTTTTTTTGCCTGATAATTTCTGTTGGGGGCCATTTGAGGCTGTGGAGAGACGGCGGCCGTACCTTTTTATCCTTTCAGCCTTTAGAGACTATCGGCTTTAGCTTCATTATTCTTATCGCAAATGACTTTTGAAGGACCTGCACAGTGCAAAAAAACACATTTCCCTCACTTTTTTAATGATGTAGTATGTAAACAAATTTTCAAAACATACCATTCACTCTCCAGTACATAAAGTCAAATACAAGGAGTGTTTCCGCCTAGACCAGGGGCTGGCAACACGTGGCTCTGGAGCCTCATGTGGCTCTTTTACCTCCCTGTTGCGGCTCCACAACAGATTTAGATTTTTAGGTGAAAATAAAATGATCCTCCTTTGCAGTAACATAAAGCTCTGCTTATCGTTCAAATACAGTTTTAACAATAACTGGAGTTAATGTATAACTTGTAATTCACCTTTAACACTGAAGGTTGGCACGCAGACTGCTGGTCATCATAGCAATGACAACAGTCTCGTCTAGCTAAGAGAAAGATTTAAGACGAACATTGATAATTTGTAGCTGAAAGGACTAATTTGCGTTTATAATCACTCCAGCTGGTTTCCTGATACATTTAATCTGCAACAAGAAACTGTCAAACGCTAAATAGTCATGAAGCTGAAGCCAGCTTCTCGTTCACCAGCTTCTTGTTCAATTGTTACGTTCCACCTAAAATAGTGCAACAGTTAGCTACATAGCTACATGCTAGTGCCTCAGGCACCAATTAAGGTGAAACAGGAAAATTCGAACAAGAAGCTGCTGAATGAAAAAAAGTGAAATGTTAGACATTTTACATGAAAACTGTTCTACTTTTGTGGAAAAGTTTCCTGCCAGAGATGCAAGAAAAGCAGCTAGATCTGAGCTAAAGCTTAAAGCAGGGCATAGTAAGTCTCTGTTTTCATTCATATTTTTAGACCATACTAGTACATTAGCACATACTGAGACATATTTACAGCCAAGATGGTGAAACGTTACTTCAAAAAAATGGACATGAAATGTTTTGGCTCCCAAGGTGGTTACATTTTTGTTGAAACTTAACAAAGTGGCTCTTCTTAATATTTGGGTTGCTGACCCCTGGCCTAGAATTGGCTTGAATGAGGCACAATACAGGGCAGTCAATCAAAACAGAGGACATGTACATTTATTCGTCTTAAAAGCACAGTAACAGTAACAAAAACAGCCTGGTTAAATCTGAAGAATAAATGTTGCAAAATGAATTATGGATCTTTTTATTTGTGCAAAGCCCCACACAAATGTCATAAGTGGACTTGAGTGGAGAGAAGAATAAAACACAAGACACATGTAGGAGAAGGGCTCTTTAACTTTTGCTCTACTCCAGTGTGAAACTGTCAATATGTCTTTTCTGATGGTTGTGGAGAAGAGTCTTGTGGTGCTGGATTGGTGTCCTGGGCGAATGAGTTATGAATGAAGGCTGCTTGCTTTCGACAGCTTAATTATACACAGAGCTGGCTGAGGTGGGATCACTCGGTGGCTCAGAGCCGTGCAGGAAGAGTCCGATTAATCACAGACTCCATCCGTCCTCTTCACTCGTCTCCCTCAAGACTTCCCTCTGCCAAGCCTCAAATATCGTCTCTTCCTCCGTCCCTCTTGTCCCTTATTGCCATGCTCATCATCTCTCTCTCTCTCTCCTCTCTTACTTCCTCACTCTCTCTCTCTCTCTCTTTTTACCTCCTCTGTCTTTCTTTCTCTCTCTCTCTCTTTCTGTCTTCTGCTTCCACTTTCTTCATCTCTCCCTCTCTGTCTTTATTTTACTCCCCTCCTCACTTCCTCTCTCCATCTCTCTCCCTCTCCCAGTCTTTCTTTTGCTCTCAATCTCTCTTGCTTTCTCTCTCCTTCTCTCTCTCTTTCTTTAGCTTTCTCTCTCTCCCTCTTTTCTTGCTTATTCTCTCTGTCCTTCTATCCTCTTTTGTCTTCTTTCCTCTCTCTACCTCTCTCTCTCTCTCTCTGTCTCTTGTTCTTTTGCTTTCTCCCCTCTCTCTTTCTCTCTTTGATTTGCCTCCCCTTTCTGTCTATCTCTTTCTTTAACCTCTCTCTCTCTGTCTCTCTCTCTTTCTCTTTCCGTCTTTCTCTCTCTCTCTCTCTCTCTCTTTCTTTTGCTCTCCCCTTTCTTTTTCTCTCTCTTTCTCTCTTTAATTTGCCTCTTCTCTCTGCCCATCTTTCTCTTTCTTTTGCTTCCTCTCTCTCTGTCTCTCTCAGTTCAGTTCAGTAGCTCAGTGCTTCAGAGCTTTATTACTCTGACTCTATCAAGTACAAATGTTGCCAAAGCACAGCAAAGTTTAACTACTCACATCCAACACGTTAACAGAATTAGTAGTCATCGTGGAATTAACAACAAAGACAGTTATGATAAACAATAAAAATAATAATAATGCTAATAATAATATTCTTTGTCTCTCAGATCTCGTACTCTTTGCTGAATGACCGCAGTGGAGACTATCAGTTCTTTCGTATTGATCCTGAACTGGGCTCCATTTACACCGAAGCCGTATTTGACCGGGAGACGAAAGGATCATACCTGCTGGAGGTGAAGTCCATGGACGGCTGGGAGTCTGCCAGGCCAGGCCGGCACGGGCAGCCCAACTCAGGTACAGCCAGCCTTCTAACACAGCCTCTGTGCTACAATTAGAACTCTACATCCAGTTAACCCCCTTAAACAAACAGAGAAATTCTGTGGAAACAATTTGATGAAATGTTATTGTTGTGCTTACACACAACGAAAAACAAAAAAACATACTTCACATTTTTGCTTTCATCGTGTCTTGACAAAAACAAACAGAAAAAGTTAGAAATTCTGTATTCAATGTGTCAAGAAAGTATGTAAATCAAATGTAAATGTAATTAATAATGTACCCAACTATGTCATTAATTGTGTAATTATGTAGTTACGTTTACAAAGTATAGCAGACATTAATAACTCTAGACGTCTAGAGCCAAACCACAGGCCTATTATTCAGTCGTTAATCTTTAGACTTATTATAACTGTTTACATTTTTTGGTAGCTGATTTTTCTATTAAATTAATATGGCAGTTGTAGAGTTTCAGAGTGAGGAAATGAAGTGTGGGTCCACATACATGCTTTTTATGTTTAACCCCTTAAATAGTGAGTGCCCACTGACCCTTTCATAACCTAACAATAGCTCAATCAGTTTGCATTGAAGTCCCTGTAATTACTGAATAATATGCCTTAGTATGGCAGCAAGCCTGATTTTAAGGGGTTAAGGTGTAATGAAGAGAAAATTGATGCAAATCACTATGAATAATGACAGATATGGGAAAAGCTAATAGTGAAAAAAAAATGTGATAGCTGAAAGTGTGCAGGCCTGATGTGATGATGCTCAGGATGCTCAGACAGAGTAATCAGCCTTGAACTCTGCATGAGTCATAATGAGCTTCTCAGGCCTCAGCATGTCATCCATTCCCTCTTTAGGCCTGATTGCCAAAGATTTGTAGACTTCCAGCAAGTCTTTGCACTCTGGATCTGAGGCCATATGCACACAGCTGCACTGTGTGAGTGTGATCATTCTTAGATGTCAATGAAGTGATCATATAATTGTACGTGTTGTATTACCAGAGCATTTACCAAATCTAGACATGTCTTGTACTGGTGTTCAATACAAAGTGAGTCTCTATACTTTATTTATACCATCCTTACTCTTTGGTGAGCAGCAGCATCAGGCATTCATGTGATCAATCAGTCCATTAGTCTACCTCTTTCACAAATGAATACATCTCATAAACTTTTTACAGCAGCCTACGCATTTTAAAATAAAGCAGCAGTTGGGACTTGAGGTGGAAAGAATAAAATTGACAGGAATATAAGTAGAAGAATGAAGGAAATTATTCAAGTATGAATAAAGTTTTTTGACTTACTTCACATTCTTTTCTGCCTTACAGAAAAAAGGGTCCAATGCTCATAATTTCACTTATAACCGGCTACCAAACATGCCAATTAGCCTAAACATTAGCTATATTCAGCTAATGAAAGCTAGCCTCAAAATTAGCAAACATTAGCTCAGTTAGCCTGCTAACAGGCTTGAGAAAATACAACATATAAGCAATAGAACATACAAGCAACAGTGTTGGAGTGGATCTAAACATCAAAGTAAGAAGAAAACAATTGATGAATTTAGTAGCTTTATGCTAAGATTAGTTAGCCAGCCGTTTGATTTCTTACCTCTTTCTGCATCCTCAGGTTGGAAGTTGAGTTCTGAAAGGCAGAGATTTCCACAAGTTTCGGGGGACATATTTCATAATAATGCTGTTTCCTTTAACGCATTAAAAATTGAACAGAGATGACAAATGGTGTACAGAATGTTATGCTGGTACCATTACTCTCCCTGCTTCCACCGTGTTATCAGAAGCTCACAGTTTTGGAACAGAGCTCGGGTTGCCACCCATCCATTTTTCAGTCTGTGTCCAAGTGTTTAGTTTTGAATGTCTTTTGTCAGTTTTTGCAGTGATTCTCTACTATGTGGAGAAAAAACACTATGTCGGTTTGTCAGTTTGTCAGTTTTTCTTTCCCCAGACATGTTAGGCCATTTAGCATAAATTCAGTTTTTTTAATACAACGGCCAGTCATAAAGACAGCTACGAGAAGTCAAACCATCTGTCTAAAATAAGGAAGACATCTTCTAAGCAAAGCTCTTTCCAAGAAGAAAGCCTTCAAAATGAACCCAAAATATAGTTTACCAAAGATTCAAACAATCAAACATCTGTAAAATACAGAATATGTTCTCATTAATCATTAAACATAATGGCATTTCTTCTATGAGACCCCACCAAACTTCAGATTGCCATAAACAGCACTGGCATTCTGAACAAATCATTCCAGCTACTTATCTCAGGTATGGTTCATATAAAGTCACCTGTTTGTCTAATTTTCAATTCACTAAAACATCTACAAGCTTTTTTTGAAGAACAAACTGCTGCTGGTTTACATGCACCATTTCTTAACTCTATAGGCAGTTGTTACAGTAATAATCTAGTATAACACTTACTAGACAGAAAGCCCAAGTAAAAGTGAAGGTACTACAATTTAATGGTACTAATATAGAGTAATTTGGGTGAAAACATACTCAAAAACATTTACATTTATTTAGCAAACACAGTACAGACAAAATTAACTATGTTTTTGTTAGTAATTCAATATATAAACTGTTAGAAGCTTTAGCTCTTGTGTGATATTACAGAAACAGTGAAATAGTGCACTCTGTGGCATAAAAACTGTGCAATTTGTGATCAGTCCTAGGGGAACATGGTCCACACGCATGGTTATCCTCCTGTTGGGAAGCTTAGCACTGTAGGGACCGATGCTTCTCTTCAGTGACGTGATGCACTGATTCAGCTGGATGAATAGACACTTGATAAAGTCCAGCAATTGGCATTCTTGTCCACATGTTGAGGCGATGCTATGTGGCTAGTGGCTTGAAAAGATGCGGTGGCACGCTTCCCACTCATCAAAGCAAGAATGTTGAGGCTCCAACCTCGCCGATGGCACTGTCAGCATTTTAAAGGGAGAGACATATAATCTGGAGAATTAGAGCCGAATTAATTAAAGACAATGATAAAGTATTTAATCAGAATGAATACATTTTGGAGCTGTTATGTAATATGTTGTGATGTTATTTTGACAGCCAGTTGTGAACTGGGCCTCATTGATTGTAGCATGGCCTGTGCTACACCGGGCTCGTGAAGGACGTTATAGGCAGGGTTGAGGGTTGCATCGTCCATTTTAACTTCATTTTCACGCCTTTTCAGCCCTTTTCTCCAAAACCAAGCTTTTTAGCTCATCAGTCTGTCACTGCTGCTGCTCATCCCTCTCCCATGCTCTCTGTTCCCTCTCTGCTCTTTTTAAAGGTGCTCACGCTGCCAACGCCAGATCAGCATGAGCACCTGAGCTGAGAGGGAAAGAGAGCTTGTTGCTCCAGCCCTGCTCATCACCCTGCCTTCCTGCCAGCTCTCGCGGCTGTCACTGGGGCCCTGGGGTTGAGCTCAGGGCACATTGATATATCGGTTAGTCAGTAAAATTGGGTGATATTAAGATTGCAGTGATTTATCTGTACCAGAACAAATAAAGCACTACTAATGCTACTAATAAAGCACAGATATTGCTTTAATATCAAAAACGTATTGTAGCATCAGCATAGAACAAGACACAAAACATTACACATGAGGTCAAATTCTCTTTTATTTTGAAAAGGCATGTCAGCAGACAGCCAGAAATGCCCAGCCCAGTGCTGCTGCAAGAAAAAAAAAAACAGAGGGAGAGGGTAACACAGGAGGATAGACACTTCTAACCACTAGTCACACTACAAAGCCCAGCATTCTGGGACACAGTTACCCTAATAAACACAACTAAACCACACAACAACAACAGCAACAGCAGTACGTTTTTAAATGGCAGTATAGCGCACTCCAAGAGCCACTCTGCAAGGCCACACCCCCTAAGCTCCTTACTGCAGTGCAGAGCCTGTGGTGGACAACACAATGTAAAATGTATCAGGGACAAAAATGATCGTATCATGCAGCACTTTTAGTATGTATTGTTGTGCTATGCAAAGCTGTTTAGTGATGTGACTGGTTAATGTGATGTTCAATGATAGAACTGTACATAGTGAAGTTTACAGGTGTGATTCTGTCTGTATTGATATGTGGTGACATGCAGTGGATGGGATTGCTTAGTGAGATGTGGTGGTGTCCATTTAAATGTGATAGTGTATGTTTAGTGGTGTACTTTTGCGTGATGTATAGTGAGATACATTTATATTGCTATGTGGCATCCTGCTTAGGGACAGGTGTATCATTCCCTGTATATTAAACCAGTTAGTCCCTCTTGGAACATCTGCTTTTCCAGGAAATTGAAAGTTCATTTCATGTCAGTTTTGGTTGTTGTGAGGTTCTTGATAAAACAAACACTGCTGGGGTGTTTAAAGAAAAAATGTCATGAAAGCTCCTGAGTGCTCTGTGACTCTGCAGATCTGAATTTTAAATGAATGCATGTTCAGACAGTGAGCTTCCTCACGGGCGTCTCCCTGCACTGCTGTTTAACATGATGGATTAGTCTGTACTGAGACTTCTGCTCTGTCCCGTCACTCTGACTGCCCCCATAACACATCTCACCCACCAGAGTGGAGAGGAAGCATGCAGGAGGACACATGCGTACAAATGCAGCACACACATATACACAGCAGGATGCACTGATTCAGTTCAGTGACTAAACAGTTAGTTAAGTCCACACAAGCACATAAATGATCTGCTCCATCGTTCTGAGCCACTTTTGGCACAGAACCTTATTTGCCATATAGAAGAGAGTCTCAACTTTCTGGTGATAACTATATTATCATTGTGCTCCAACTATGAGTTGAGATAGGACCTACACTTATTTGCACCACTAGACAAAAGGTCAGACATACTCATAGAACAGTTGGGAACTTAGAAATACTATTTATGCAATTAGACCAGTCAAGAAATATTGGCCTTCTGAAAAAAGTTGGGTGTGAAAAAGTATTCACCCCCGCGTTCTCTATTTTGCATATTTGTCACAGTAAATGGTCTCAGATCAGATTCAATGATCATTTCATTTCTTAAAGGAAAAAAAGACAGGACTTGTGCTTGATCTTCAGATCATGGACTGATGACCGAACTTTCTCCTGCTGAATCTTCTGGTAGAGAGCAGAATTCATGCTTCCCTAAATTATGGCCCAGTCACCCAAGCAGCAAAGCATCTCCACACTGTCACACTACCACCACCATGTTTGAATACTGGAGTGATGTTCTTATAGTGGAATGCTGTGTTCCAGTGTCTGCCAAAAAGTTCCACTTGGGCTCCACAGAGCATTATTCCAAAAGGCGTGGTGATCATCAGGGTTTGTTGTCAAATGTGAGATGAGCCTTTATGTTCCTCTTGGTTAGCTGTAAACTCAACAAGCAGGTGGTCGAATATTTTAATCATGCCAATATGAAATGGATGGATAAAAACCCTGAGCTCAAGAAGAGAAAGCCCCAACCTCACCTAAACAGTCCAGACTTGATTCTCATTACACCATTATTTTATCCATAAAGATTTTATTTCAAGGCAGCTGTGTCTACTGGCTCAAATAGGATTAGTGTTCATAGTTTTAATCAAACATAGCTGCTGGGTCTTTTTCAAAGGCATGGGATAGTGCTAAGACTTTTGAAGGATGTTTACTGTTTTTGGCTGTTTCCTTCTAAATAAAGTATTGAAACGACTGGGATATTCACAAAAATTGGTGCAAATTTTATGTGGTTTAAACTTACAAAGTAAAGTAATGTAGTGAAATTACTTTTTCAGTGAAGGAAAATGTGAAGTAATCTCATTACAGTTTGAGAAGTAATTAGTAAAATGTAACTTTTTTAGCTCATTAGCTTCTGAAAGAGGACCTAACTAGCCAAAAGTAGCTTTCTTTCAAAGGAACAAATGACTCAGCTTAATGTTTGTAGGATTTGGGAATTTGGTGGAAATGTGTAATTGCTTGCAATGTGCAGAACAACATTTTGTAATGTCAGTTGTGCTCTGGACTCTTTCCTGAGTGGATAAGTCTGACGATTGCGAGTGCATTGAATGAAAATATATTCAAAGAGAACTCAGTTAAAACTTGATAAGGCTATGTAAGTAAATTATTATACTCTTGTTATGATATGTTTATCAGTATGAACAATTTTGATTTCACGTTTGAGACCTTAACACCGAGCTGGTACTTCCACCAAGTCTGTGAGTGTGACGATGTATGATGTGGCATTTAAAAAACTCTGAAATCTGACCTGATGTCTATGACTTTTAAATTTTTATAACAAAATTTTCTGACAAAGCCGACTTACTGTTCTTCATTTTCATCTATTAATTATTACCATACTATTATTATTACCATTGTATTCTATTCTATATTCTATTCTATATTCTATTATTATTATTACCATTATCTTTGTTCTTTTTGTATTGTTTTCACAGATCACAGTTTATCAAGCTAGAACTGCAAAACTTTGTATGATCATAGAGCCTGTGTGGGAATAGCGTGCTTGAGCTTTCGGGCACAACCGTAGCAATCACCTATTAAAACCTTAGCAACCACCTGGCATACCATAGCAATGGACTAGCAGCACCTTAGCTACCACCTAGGATAACATTGGAATGGCCTAGCAACACCTTAGCAACCGCCTGGGATATCATAACAGTGGCCTAGCAACACCAAAGCATCCATTTGAAACACCACAGCAAGGGCCTATCAACACCTACCTGGGATACTATAGCAGTGGCTTACCAACACCTTACCTATCACCTAGGATAACACAGAAGCTTCCTAGCAGTACCTTAGCAACCACCTGGGATACCATAGCAATGGCCTAGCAACAGCCTAGCAACCGCCTAAGACACCATAGCAAATTCCTTGGTAATCCTTAGTTATTACCTGCGATGCCATAGCAACAGCCTTGCAACACGTTAGCAAACACCTAGGATACCATAGCAATGAAGCAGCAGCACCTGAGTTACCAAACAGGATAACATAGGAGTGGCCTAGCAACACCTTAGCAACCACATGGGATACCATAACAATAGCCTAGCAACACTGTAGCAACCAAATGGGCTACGATAACAACAGCATAGCAATACCTTAGCAACCACTAAGGATTCCATAGCGACTTAAAGTTCATTCACAAATTCTTCCCTTTCTAGTTTAGCATGTTTTCACTCCTGACTCAGTATTACTACTTATTTCAGTTTGAGAGGTCCAAATCTATATATTTTTTATTTTACATTAGTATTGATGCTTTTTGAAATCTGAGGCTTTATTTGATCAGAAGCCAAAAAATAACCCCAAACAGCCTAGAGTTTTGATCTAAAGTCTGGTTTCAACACAAACAGGCCTTTAGTGACTTCCACTTGAAGATGATAGAAAGTGTCAAATATGCAGTGCATGTACACTGTAGGGAGACACTGTGAAACCTGCCGAAAAAAGACAGACAGGATGTTGATGTAGAGACACATGCACACACTCATGCATGCGGTGTTGTACAACAGTGTAATGAAGTCATCCTGTCAGAGTGATCCACATGTCAACCAGAGGAAAACAAAGAAGCAGGAAGTGGCACGGCGCAGTGATGTGCGTTTATTTGAACTGAGACGACATGACCACGGCTCTGAATGACACGTCAACCTGTCAGCGGCTGACAGGCGCCGCGTTTGCTCTCTTTCATTTACACGCACACCCCAGCATCTACAGCCGGAGTCTGTCGGACTGAACCGTACGCGTTCTTTTTTCCACCGTGCCGTTGTTTAGATCCATTACGGTTGCATGAGCCGTCTCTGCAACCAGTTTAAATAATTGATCTCATCTTGAGGAGTATATTGCAAATTATGTCTCGTTTGAAAGTGATATCAAAGGGAGGAATATTAGATGGGATTGCCCCCTCCGCCACCTCAACTCCCACCTCCCCTTTCCCCATCCAGCCCACACCCGTCCAATCTCGAACCCCTGGGACTCTTCACATCTCCTCACATCTGCCTTCTTGATGGCTTCAAACACAAAGCAGAAATGCGGAGATGAGAGGAAGATAGAGAGATGAAGAGAGGGAGAAAAATGGAGGAGACAAACAGAGGAGGGGAAAATAGGGAGAGGATGGAATTGGGGGAAAGGAGATAAAGGATGGCTGAGAGGGAAGCAAAGAGGGAGAGAGAGAGAGAAAGTATGTGTTCAGAACTGTGCAAAAGTCAGAGACCACCCTTTGTTCATTTAATTACCAGTCAAAAATGGCCATTAACAAGTCATTCATTTTTAAGCATCAGGGAAACATTTGGGTGGTCTATTCAGTATGTAATTAAATGTGTAATTACGTTATAGCATTTGAATAGGACAGCAAAATAGCAGTAATATCTCTCAGCTTCTAAGAGATAAGAGAGAGATAGTGGCCTGACAACCCCAAAGCAACCAAATTAAAAAACATAGCAACAGCCTAGCAACACCTTAGCAACCACCTGGAACGCCACAGCAATGGCAAAGCAACACCTTAGCAACTACCTGGGGTACTATAGCAATGGCCTAGCAACAGCCTAGCAACCACATATGAAACCAAAGCAATTGCCTATCAACACCTTAGCAACCACATGGGATATCAGAGCAACAGCCTAGCAACCCTTAGCAACCTCCTGGCATACCATAGCAATGAACTAGCAGCACCTTGGTTGCCACCTAGGATAACATAGGAATAGCCCAGCAACACCTTAGCAACATCCTGGGATACCATAACAGTGGCCTGGCAACACCAAAGCAACCAAATGGAATACCATAGCAACAGCCTAGTAACACCTTAGCAACCAACCAGATAGGGTAAAACGTAGGGAAGGGGCAAAAAGTTGATCTATGGTGGCATTTTAACTCTCTTATAGTTAATGTTTCCCCTATGCTACATTCAGAGTTTGTCTTTTTTCAACTTTAACTCATTAAAATCTGCCCCAGAGTAGTTTTGGCCATGTGCTTGTCTGCATTGGACAGGAAAATGGATCTGTAAATGGAGAATTCAATGTGCTACTGCATCATCTATAACTATATAAAAGAAGCTTCATGTTGCCTTTCTTGTTGGAAGAACTGTGAGAATTTATGAATTCACATCACTATGGAGACACTTATTATTGATTTGTTTAACTAGAGTAACAAAATAAACTGAAACTGAAATGTTCCGAATTATATTTTTAAATGGCAGTTTGTGACACAAACCAAATGATCAAAGCAATTTTTCAACTGTCAGATTGTGTTCTTTAACTATTGTTGATGTCACCAAATCCATGGAATATCAAATCCAGTTTTTGGTTTTTAATTCCTTACCATTTACAACAAAATGGCTTTTAGAATTTATGGACATTTCATGATGAATGGACCAATAGAAATGACTTCAAATCTCGTTACATTAACTTACAGTAAAGTGAAGCGCTCCTGTAAAGGTACTGTTTCAGGAATATAAGGTTTGTTATAACAGCAGTGATCTCAAAATAGGCTACAAGTGACAGCAGCATTGACAAATCACATAATTAAAGGAAAAAGGTAGAATAAAAGGCAGAAATAGAGGTTTTCTTGTCCCAGCATTAAAGGGTTAAAAGAGAAAGGGGGGGGTGAAGAGATAAGGACAGGGTAAGAAGAGAAGGAAAAGGTGTTCAGGTTGACAGAATAAGATCAGCAGTGGTTGTTTAATCTCATATATGTGTGTTTGCTCTCTCCCCTCAGATACGGCGTACGTGCGGATTTTCATCAGCGACGTGAACGATAACAAGCCGGTCTTTGCGCAGACGGTGTATGAAGTCGACGTGGATGAAGACGCAGACGTGGGCTCCACCATCCTCACCGTCAGCGCTAATGACGAAGACGAAGGTAGGCCGAGACAAATAGGAAGCGTGAGGGGCAGATTCAAAACGCTGGAGGTGAAGCAGAAAGAACGCAGGGCCAGTTGCAGACTGCGCCAATGACCCCTGAAGCGAAAAAAAAAACAAAAAAAACAAATATGAAAGGAATACTGATCATAGCATTTAGAAATTCTTTAAAAGGCTTTCAGGCCTTTTGCATTCTCCCCCATTGTGAGCTCAGCCTTCAAATCCTAATGGGCAGCAGACAGTTCTGGATGTTGTGTATAGCACACTTCCACTGCCCAGATAGAAATTCTTCACTTTACTCTTCCCCATAATATAACGGCATTCATAATTCATAACTCGGAATACTTCGCATTCTTCCATCCCATTCAAAGATTTTTATTCAAGAGATTATAAAGATGTTCCAGCTCTTTCAAGCGAAAGTCAGGAAGAAACTTTAAGATCATGTCTTCTGACTCATGAAAAATAGAACATACTCTGTAATATTTACACTGTCTTCAAGTGTATACATCTGCAAGCTCTTTTCAGATGTGTAACACTACTGTTATAAATGCATAAGAAGCTTAAGAATTTATTCTTTGTTGCAGTGTCTGTTTTTGAGATTGTACTGTGGGTTTTATTGTTTTGCCTTCTATCTTTTTCAAGCTGGATGAAATTTTGTGATTTTGTCTTCAACTGATTTTGTCCTCCAGTTATGAAACATTTGAAAAAGACTGAAAGTATGAAACATAGCAAAGTTATGAAAAAGTTGAGTGTGATGTATCAGGAAAATTGTCAGTTTGAACAGTCTGAACAGAGGAGTCCAGCTTCTTAAATAAGCAGACACCTGGACAAAATATGATTTTGTATAGACTCCCTAGAGGTCATTCTGAAATATTATGTTATTACATCATTAAAGTGGGATTTACCAGGAAAAGCCACATTATTATACAAGAAAAATGCATAGTTCAACTGAGGGACCTCCAAAACAAATGAAAATTAAAAATAGAAAATCATTGCCAGTAGAATGGGATGATCTAGAATAGCCACACATGAACCTAAGGTCATCATGCCTAATGCCAAGCGTAGTTTTGTGGGGTATAACGCCCCCCCTTGCACTGGGCTGTGGAACAGTGGAACTGCATTCTCTGGAGTGATAAAGCTCCATTCAATACCTTAGGGATGAGTTGGGGTGTCATTTGTGATCCATGTGTTTTCCAACATCAGCACCTGACCTCAGTAATGCTCCTGTGGCTGAATTCAATCAAATACTCACTGCAGTGTTCTAGCATGTAGTGTGAGGCTTTCCCAGACTCGTATTAATTCAAACAAACTTTTGGACATATATTGTATATACCAGAAAGTGTGCTGCATGTTTCTTTAACAGTTATCACCTAAAACTAAAGAAATCTGGAGTAATTTGACATGATTTCTTACTCTTAGCTCATCAGAAAAAAAACATCCTTTACTTTTTTGCCATTGAAATGAACAGACAAAAGCACAGATTGAAAACTGTCAAAGAATGTGAATTGAATGTAAATGTGCTTCAGTCTAACCCAATATGTGTGTGATAAATATGTAATTAAATAGTAATGCGACATAAAATTAATAAGTCTAGACTTCTAAGAGTTAACAGGTGCTATGACGATATAGAGCTGTGCATTGGCCTTTCAGTATGCATGTGTGAGTCATATCTTGCAGACTACACATCAATGCCACGTTACCCCTGCCTCCTATGTGCTTTAATATGGACGTCACAAGTGCATGAAAAACCCCCAGATAAGCTCTCTGGTTCATTTCCCTGTCTCACGTAAACCCACACAGCACAGCAGAGTCGACACATAACTCACTCCTCATCAGCTAGCCTGGTTGAGTCCATAAATCCTCGTCTGAAACACATCATCCCTTCTGCTGCAGCTGGAGTCCGTGCTCGTGGATATCAGCAGCGCCGATCTCATCAGACGTTTATCAGAGGCCTACTAAGGGCCTTAAGCCTCATCATGACGAAACACGCTTCAGTCTTAAGTTACTATTCAGCCACGTCTTCCTGAAGAATCTGGCTAAATTCCTCTGCTTCTGTCTTTTCCTAACCTCTTGAAGCTCAGGCTTATTATTTATTTATTAATCTGAAAACCTATTCAGTATCTACCAGTGTTGGGATAGTTAATCTCAATACTCATTACTTTTCTTCTCTTTACATGCTCACTAAAACACATGCAGATCTGTACCTGTAGAAAAATACAAGGAAAAGCACAGCTGTCCTTTCAGTACTTTAATTAGAAAGAAAAAACAATCATGATAAATGTCATTCAAAAGGCCTGTCACTATACCTGCTTTTGATCTGAACAAGATATAAAAGCAATTCCAGAAAGGTTGGGACGGTAGATAAAATGCCAACAAAGCAGTGATTTATACATCTAATTTCGTTTGTATTTGAAAAAGAACAGTACAAAGACTAGATATGTATTTTTTTGTCTTGTCTACTAATTGTTTTTTTTTCAGAAATTTATGCCTGTAACATGTTCCAAAAAAGTTGGGACAGAGCAGATTAAGACTAGAAACATTGTCAGTGGTCAAAAACATACAATTATGCTTGGACATATAAGAAAAACTGTCTAGTCCTTTATAAGTCAAGGCTCGCCACTTTGCCAAAAATGCATCATCAAAAAATCTACCAATTTAAAATATACATTTTTCAGCCAGCAAGTGCAAGGATTGTAGGTATTTCACTCTCTAAAGTTCAAAATATCATCAGAAGATTCGCGGAATCCTGAGAAATGGAAAGGGCAAGGCCAAAAACCACAACTGAATGCCCATGACCTTCGATCCCTCAGATAGGACATCACCACATGGGCTCGGAAGACCATTGTCAATAAACACCGTCTGTCACTGAATCCACAGATGCAAGTTAACGCTGTCCTATTCACAGTAGAAGTCATATGTCAACAGCATCCAGAAATGCTGCCAACTTCTCTGGGCACGAGCTCATCAGAAATGGATGGATGCACTGTGGAAACGTGTCTCAGGGTCAGATTTTTTGGTTATTTATGAAAATAATGGATGTCGTGTTCTCTGGGCTAAAAAGGTAAATACCATCCAGATTGTTACCAATGTAAAGTTCAATAGTCATCATCTGTCAAGATATGGGTGGTGTGAGTGGACAACCTAAAAGGCCTATCTGAAGAGTCACGCAACTGGAGAATGACAAAAAATATAGGCTTTCAAAACTGGATATGTTGGTGTCTTCAATCCCTGAACATTTATTAAGTGCTGTTAAAAGGAAAAGTGATGTTGCGCTGGGGCAAACATGCTCCTGTCCCAGCTTTTTTAATAAAGTGTTGCAGGCATCAAATTTCAAATGAGCATATATTTATTAAAAACTATTAAGTATGAGATATTTACAAGAAAATATTTTTATACTTTTTGTTCCAGAATGGAGGTAATTAATTAATGTTTTTTGTTTTTCCCATAACTCTGTTATTAAATTAACAATGCTGCTGGATCTCTGTGTGCAACGTTGTGAATCTGTGTTGAGCTATAAGTGAGGTGTGAAAAAGGAGTGATGAGGAATCCCCTGCTGTGAAAACAGTTCACACCTGTCCACAAAGACAACCATGCCAAGATAATACGAGCACCTGCAGCTTTCTTTATATCAAAAACCAAGTACTACTGCCAGCTGGAAGAAGAACAGCTGCCTGCAAATAAAATTTTATGAGTGAAACAGAGATCCTGTTCCTGAACTAAAACAGGTTCTGTTTACATGAGGGCACTCTTTTCTTTCAGAGCAGGTTTTTTTGTTCTATGACTCATATCAGCATGATTAGATGCTTCACAATTCACAATGAAGCTGTGTAGTCAGCTACAGTACAGTACTGTGCAAAAGTCTTTGACATTTGAAAACTAAGTATAGTAATTGTTTGCTTAGAAAAGCACTAATATTAGAATAAATACAAATTTTGTCAACACAGTAAGTAATGATTTTACGTATGTGTTCAGTTAACCCTTTTTAAACCTTTAGTGGCAGCCCAGTATTAACCCCTTAAAATCTCAGGCTTATTACCTACTAAGGCTTATTATTCAGTAACTACAGGGACTTCAATGCAATCTGGTGGAGCTGTTCTTAGGTTATAGAATTATGAGGCCCACTGGCGGCTCTTGACCATTTAAGGTGTTAACAGTTGTTATTACCCAATACATGATTTGACTAATTACTGCTTCATTAAGTTAAATCAGGTGTGCTGGTGATATAATTTAACAAATCCATGTGATGGCTGGGGGTGATAATATACTCTTTTGTATATCACCAGCAGAAACATTTGTACTGCTAAAATAAATGGTTTTAAATAATGTGCTTAGGTGCCAAAGACTTTTGCGCAACACTGATGAAGCAACGCAAGTAATTAAATTCTTATTCAGTCAGTATTATGTCATTCTAAGACTTTATAATGCATTACACTACTTCATTACATGAAAAATAATTACGTTATTATAATGCTATAAAAAACTGAAGGACCGGTGTCCAGCACCGAGAGAGTCCCTCAGATCAACATCCCTGCTGTAACCTATTACTTTGTACCTACTATGAAACTAATATGTAAGTATGAGTATGAGGAAGTGTTGGCCTACATACAGGCAGTGTTGGGGAAGTTACTTAGGCAAAAGGAATCCATTACAAATTACTAATCTCTTAAACTGTATTGGGATTACTTTAGTGTGTCAACTGGAAAGTACTTTATTTGGAAAGAAATAACCATGCAGTCAAAAGTTGTAGTATCACATGCATGCAAATTACATACAAGGATAATCTATATAGAGGAAATTCATGTTTTTAAGACACTGTGTATAATTAATTTTGGACTGTTAGAAACATGTGAGTAATACAAGTAACAAAATTCTGATGTCACTTTACTTAAGAGACACATACTGGGGCCTAATTTTTTGTTCACTAAAGCTCACATAAGACGGATTTATTTATAGTGGCCCGTACTAGTAATCGCTAATAGTTGCAGTAATAGAAAATCGCTAATAGTTGCATTATTAGTTGTAAAAAATGTGCAGTAAACAATTCAAGACATTGTTAGGCAAATAATTGAGCATAAATTAATCAGGTTATACACTAATAAGATATGAAATTAAGTTTCACATCTTATTAATGTATAACTGCCAACATTTTATTCCTATAGATTCTGTGTAGCATATAGATAGCATTTTAATTACATGCCTAATGTCCTAAACTGATCTTTACTTTAGATATTAAACATGTTTAGCACTTTTTAGTCTCTAATTATAGAGGACTAAAACTCTGCTTTAGAATGTGTAACACATCTTAAACTATTAATGATTCATCAAACTCCTGTTTACCCTAAAGCTATAAAAAGTCATGCAAAGTTATGCAATCTAGAACCTGAAGGAAAAAATGCCAGTTATGCACAAAACATATGGTAATTCATGCTGAATAATTTGTATAATATGTTGACAAATTGTTTGATGTACATCATTAAAACTAATAATGCAATTCCAGTGATTTTCACGTACGTACAGGTCATAATGAATAAAGCTTAATGTATAGTTAATCAATCATTTTTTTAAACAAAGAACAATACCTTATTTAAGTCTGAATGAGGCTTCTTTATTATAAATTATTACCAAAAGTCAGCAACTGTAATGTGATTACAAACATTTAAACTGTAATGTGTTGCACTACTTAGTTACATGAAAAATTAATTATATCACTGTAACTGTAATGAGTTACTTTGTACTGCATCACCCCAACAGTGCATACACGCCCTTAGGGTTCAAGAGGTTAAGACTACTGTGAAAGCGCTAACTGCTAAAGTGCTAATGTTATAGCACTTTTACAGCATTTATCGGAGTTGCCCAGGGCAACAGCGAGGTGGAGAATTGCTCCTCGTCTGTTGTGTTCTACTGTATTATCCCTCTATCAGCAGAGAAACTGAAAAAACCTGAGAAATCTGAGGAACCCTAATGGGGACTGGGGGGGGTGCAACTTGCTCTGGAGTATGTTTTTTTTTACGCTGTTTGTTTATCCACTTTGTTTGTTTATGCCATCTCTCTGCGTACTCAGAGCGTTCCACAGGGAGTCGATCTCTGCCGAGTGTAAATCTAACGTACAAAACACAAACTGATTCATTCATGCGCCTTTTTCGCCGATTTCATTAATGTTGCGAAGGCTGTAAGATTAAGTATTCCTCCTCTTATTCTAGTCTTCTCCTTTTCATGCTTGGAGTTGCCATCCTCTTGAGAGATTTCGGCTTCTCCCTTATTCGCTGAGGTCGGTAGGGCTGCGTTCTTGTTGAGGCTTTCCATTTTTCCTTTGTCATAGTTTAATTGGAAGGAAAGCTAAGCCGCCAATAGCTCGATTGACTTCATTAATTCCAAGTTACGTTTTTCAGATTTGCGGGACAAGGGTGGCTTTGAGTGGAGGAGAAAATAAGACAACGTGCAAGATCTGCAACTGTAGGCACACTTTTAGAAGTAGGTAGTTTGCAGATAGAAGGAATAATACGACAAAAACACTTTTTTCCGTTAGATGTGTTGAAAGGCCCCATTATAGCAGTAAGCAATAACAACACAGTGACGGCTGCCACTTTCTATGCTGCGCAGAAGGGGCTCTAGAGGCTTGGTATGCAGACCTGCACCATGTGCCTCGCCCATGTTGTTTGTTAGCTGTTGTTTGGTGTTAGTGTTGTTAATTAGCCTTTTCTGCTAGTGTTATTAATAATCACTTCTCATATCAGAAATCATGGCCTCTTTTGGTCTCCTTCTTTGCCAAGATGCTACATACTTTATATCTGCCCTAAAGGTTAGCAAAGGCTGATCATGATATTTAAAGAAGATCTCAAAAAGCAGGAGTTAAGCCATAAGACAATAGGAACATATCCTCCTATTGGACAATCAAATCACAGATTTGACTTTGGGCTTAAGTCCATATCATAGAAAACTAGATGTTCCTCTCTTTTTCAAATCACCAAGTTAATGTGGTGTGTAAAATGTCAAAATGTGCCATTGACTCCCACTTCATACAGTCCATAAGCTGCTTCATACACAAACTAAGCTGCATGTTTTGAAATAATTTTTTTGTGTCACAAAAACCGATGTATTTACATATGTCTGCTATTCAGCATAGAGCAGTTTAGCTCCTCCCATTTACATTGAGGCTTTGATCAGTGTTTCAGGCTGGACTGTCGTCTGATTAAGCCACAATGCAGGGCAGCCAATCAGAACAGATATTATTTACATATAGTCTTGTGCAAAGGTTTACGCAAATAACGTGTTTTGTTGATTTTCTAAGTTGCACAGAAGTCATTTGACCAGGGTTGATCAAACTTTTGCATATGACTGTGTCAGTCTTAAAAGCACAGTAACGAAAACATACAGTTTAATAGTAAGAGATAAAAAAGGTCATATAAATTGAATCGTGGTTGTTATGTTTGGTACATAAAATGACACAAATATTATATGTGGATCCCAGGAAAGGTAAAAAGTTGTTTAGCTAATTGTGAAAATCCGCTTTAAGAAATATCCTTCTGAAATAGACTTTTGTTCTTTTTTGTTGTTTTTGCAGGTGCCAACGCTAAGTTGCGCTACCAGATCACGTCAGGCAACACGGGCGGTGTTTTTGACGTGGAGCCGGAGGTGGGGACCATTTTCGTCGCCCAGCCGCTGGACTATGAGCAGACTAAACGCTACAAGCTTCATGTTCTGGCCTCAGATGGGAAGTGGGAAGACTACACTGCTGTGGTGGTCAATGTGGTGAATAAGAATGATGAGGCACCAGTGTTCTCGGTCAATGAGTACTATGGCAGCGTGACGGAGGAGCTGGACGGTTCTCCGGTGTTCGTACTGCAGGTGAGATGCAGCCCACCAAAGTGTCTTTGAGGTTAATGCGAGATGTCAGGTGTCTAGCGATGCTCCGCTTTTACCATTTTGGTCTATAAAAGATTAGGAGAAAATGCTTTCACGTTCCATTATGAATACTAAACACCAATTGCTAGAAGCTGACTATTAGCATTATGCAAATTGCATCATGCTTTTAGGCTAGGTGACTGCATTCATTTTTAGATCACAACCTCCTGATTTTTCCATCATCTGCATAAAGTCAAACAAAAGGCAACATCGCAACAGCACAAAACTAGGTCAAATCATGCCTTCATAACACTTTTTACTACTGGGAGCTTGTGGTGAATAAGTCCCATTTCCCTGAATTCATGGACTTTTACAGAGTTTCAGTCACCTCCTGCCTTGAAAATTGGCGTGTAATTAATTTTGAATGAGCAGGGAAATGAATCATGCTACAGGGTACTCAGATTTTAAATGGTTACACAAGTACTTATCATGGCAAGGACTTGTATTAGTCTCAAAATCTGGTTGAATGGATTGATTGATTTCGGCCACAGTTGTTTTCTTCACATATTTTAAAGTGTTTTTTTATGCTTTTTAAAATAATTATGTGATTCTAGAGTCTTTTGAGTATGTTCTCGCTGAAGCTGTTTTTTGAAAAGCCTGGATTGCAGTCGATGACATCATGCTCTTTGTCCAAGCTGTGCTATGGAAATGCATACTTACTTACTTTTGTCTATTAGTTTCTGAGTGGAAGTCTTAAGCTGAATTATGCCTTGTTTTGAGCTGCAAGTTGCTCCCTGCTGGAGTTTATCTGAGAATGTTCATATCTGGGAAAAACGCATGTTTAACCATAGGTCAATCACGCGTGACTCCAAGTCTGTACGCTTCAATAATTCAAGAAAAATGTAGCTGGTGTCAGTGTAGCAAAAAAAGAAAAAGGAAGCCCTAACATATTCCCTTTGATGTTGAAGGTAACAGCCTCTGACCCAGATAAGGATGCTGACCAGGAAGCCCTACGCTACTCTCTGCATGGTCAGGGAGCTGAGAGCGAGTTCATCATCGACGAGGTGACAGGGAAGATCTATGCCCAGAGGACTTTGGATCGAGAAGCACGGGCGGTCTGGCGTTTTGTGGTCTTAGCCACGGATGAGGGCGGCGAGGGGCTGACTGGATTCACAGACGTCATCATCAGCGTATGGGACATTAATGACAATGCACCTGTCTTTGCCTGTGCTCCAGACAGTTGTCATGGAGATGTGGCAGAAAATTCCCCTCCTGGCACATCTGTAATGGAGATGACTGCCACTGACTTGGATGATGCGGCCGTAGGACAGAACGCTGTTCTGGCCTATAGGATTCTAGGTAATGCTGCCCTCAATGGAGGCAACAGTGGAGTGGATATGTTCACCATCAACCCGGCCACAGGAACTGTCTCTGTGGCCATGGCTGGACTTGACCGGGAACAGACAGAGTCATATATATTGGTGGTGGAAGCCAGGGATGGAGGTGGCATGACTGGAACAGCGACTGCCACCATCCACGTGAAGGATGTTAATGACCATGCCCCTCGTTTCTTGGACCGTTCTTGTTCAGCAAGGATACCTGAGAGCAGTGAGCAAAATGCAGCTGTGCTTGAGCTGGCTGCTGAGGATGCAGATGCTGGGGAGAATGGTCAGTTGACTTTTAGTATAGTGGCTGGAGATCCAGAACAGAAGTTCTACATGGTGAGCCACCGGCAAGAGCAGCGAGGAACCTTGCGCCTCAAGAAGCGTCTGGATTATGAAAGGCCAGGGGAGCAGAGGTTCAATCTGACCATTAAAGTGGAGGACCTGGACTACTCCAGCTTGCTACACTGCACCTTAGAGATAGAAGACTGCAATGACCATGCTCCAGTCTTCATCCCTCACTTCCTGCAGCTCCCAGCCCTCAGAGAGGATGTCCCAGTTGGCACCAGTGTGGCCATGGTGGCCGCAAGTGACTCAGACTCAGGATTGAACCGGGAGATTACCTATAGCATAGCTGCAGAATCTGACCCACACAGCTTGTTCTCGGTGGATCAGAGTGGCCTGGTCACTGTGGCTAGTCAGCTGGACCGGGAGAAGGCCGCCCAGCATCACCTGGTCATCCTAGCAACTGATCACGGAACTCCACCACTGACTGGCACCGCCACTATCCAGTTGTCCCTGCTGGACGTGAATGACAATGGACCAGAGTTTGAGGCCGCCTACTCTCCAGTGGTCTGGGAGAATGTTCCAGGACCTCAGGTGGTCCGGCTCAACACAAGCTCCACATTACTCAGAGCGATTGACCGAGACTCTGTGGAGAACGGGTCACCATTCACTTTCTCTGTCCCTCTTGAGTACCGTTACAGCAGTGACTTTCACTTGCAGGATAATGAAAATGACACTGCCACCATTATGGCACTCAGGGCCTTTGACCGGGAGAGACAGAAGGAGTTCCTGCTGCCGGTCATCATGACAGATAGTGGAAAACCACCCAAAACAGTTACCAGCACGCTCACCATCACCATTGGTGACAAGAATGACCATGCACACCTTGCTGGAGAGAAGAAAATATACATCAACAGTCACAGAGGTAAGATCCACAACGCTTAAAGCGTGTTAAGGTAATGCATAATTAATTGTTCTGCTCAGTGAGGTACTTAGAAGAAAAGACAAATTTACACAATTTTTCTTTACCCTACATGTGGTCAAGTTGAGATTCATGTTGAGCTGGTTATGAAACGTTGTGGGGATTTATTTTACAGAAAAGATTTGGGTGACCATTGACTTCTGTGTTGATTGTTGGAAGATGCCATACGCTGTCATGAAGTTACATGACAGATTATGTTCAATAATATAATGTATTAGTGATTATCATGACAGACACTATAATGTTTGATGTCATGTCAGCTTATGTCACATGATCATTTTTTAAGAAGTACACTCTAATTAGCTGTCATAATATCCACTATTGTGAGATCTGACATGACACTTACCAGTAATGATACTATTTTATTATTGCACAAAATCTGTCATGACAATTCATGACAGCGTATGACACCTACTAGGACATGTTTATGGCATGAAAATGTCGAAATCCAAAATTTCGATCACAGTTGTGACCGGTAGGGTTAAATGGGTTAGTTAAATGAGTTATTGTTAAATGGTTTGATGTCTAAATAAATAGGTGTGGTCAGCTTAAAGCAGAAATGATTGGAAATCTTTGAATCATAATTTTTCTACCATACCTTTATTGTCATTTCTACATCTCTAAAGTAATTTGTATACAAGCACTTTTCACAGATTTTTCAAATGGGTTTCTTAGATCCACTTTATAATGACGGGAGCAGTTTGTGTCTTCTGGAAGCTGAAATCTCTAAAGCATTGACCATACAAAGTAACTTTTGTCTTTCAGTGAAACATTTATGTCTACAGAGGAAAAAGTGTGAGCATGTCTTCGTTGTTATGAGGACTTCAGAAGCACTTTTCGCTGTTTGTTACTTTCTCCTGGTCTTTGGGGTATGCTCCTGCTCGTTTCTCTGAGAATTCTTTGGGAAGGTGGATGTAGCTGGAGCTCTCAGGCGAGCTAGGATGAAAGGCGGTATAATAATGCTGAAGCAACCACTGGCTGGTCTCAGTCTTACAGATGTAGCAGGGTTGTTTTTGCTCAAGAGCTTCTTGTGCTAAAAGCATAGCAACCATATCAAACTGCAAGTGGGTCCATTAAGGTATTTCAGGTCCAAACAGAAATTCGCTGTAGCAGCTTCTAGGAATAGTTCAGTGTTTGCTCACAACAAATGATTGAAGATGGAAAGATGGTAAAGGCTGCTATTTGCTAAACATTACAGACCAATGCTGTTTTCTTCAGTGCCATTCAGTATAGGTATAAATATGATGTTGGATTGTAAATGCATTAGTTGTCAAATAAATTTTGTTCTTGAAGGTTCTGAAGGTTCTTAAACGGCATGTGTCATGGAAAAAATACGTTTTCTTCAGTGAAATAAATAGTTTGATGAAGTAAGAAAACACTGCTAAAGTTTCAGAACATACTATTCACTCCCCAATCCATATGGTCCATATACGAAAGCTAGGCTAATTTTGAATTTAATATTTCTGTGATGTCACAAAAATCAACTCATGTACATATATCTGCCTACTCTACTACAGATGTTTAGCCCTGCCCATTCACACTGAAGTCATAAGAGTGTTTCAGTCTTGACTGCTTTTTGAATCAGCCAGCTAGACCTTATTTGCATAGATCAGTCTTAATCATGCAATAACAACAAAAAGCCTGTTTAATTCTTAGTGATAAAGTTGGGAAATGGTCATGTAAAAATGAATGATGGCTGTTTTGGTACATAAAAGCACACAAACTTTATAAGTGAAGCTCAGTAGGGAGAAAAAAAACACAAGAAGCCTACGTTTACGCAGCAGGTGGTCCAAATCTGATTTTTTCACCAAATCTGATGTTCACGAGATGTTTTAAATGTGGCCTATATGCGACATTAATCTGAACAGATCACACTCTTAAACTGACTCGCATGTGCAAAATGCTTCATGTTGCTCCACGTGGCTCATCCAGAGGTATCATGACTGCTAACGAATGCCAGTCACTCCCTGAGCTTTCAGTTTCCCCTTCGGCAGCGTCACAGGAGCGATTATGAAGCTTCATTGACTGACAGCTGGGCTCATCACTCAGAATGCTCTCCGTAAAAAGGGCACGTTATTCGGTCACGGTCACTTCTTTGGTTCGTGTCCTCAGATTCTTTAGACGTTGACTTTTATCTGTCCTTTAATGCTGCAGCCTCATTCATCTACGGCTGCATTCTGCCATTTCTTTTTCAGTTTTGGATAAGTCTTTTTTCATTTTTCATACAGAAACATCACCCCAAATGTTCATGAGGTCCCAGCAGTGCGAAATTATGATGAATGTTGAGTTGGATTGACATAAAAGTTGCATGAATTCCGATCTGGCTGTTTAGACCGAGTCGCGTTGCCACAGATCGGATGTGTTTCGGATTTCAGTACCACATATGAAAAGGTCTCAAATCGGAACTGAAATTGTGAGATTCAGTGTGGTTTTTTGTGGTTCACACTGCCACACAGATAACACATCTGTGTCACACATGAAGAAAAAGATCAGATTTGGGCCACTTTTACCTGCTGTGTGAACAAAGCTGAAGTGTGCGGGCTAAGATAGGGACGCTTTAATGTCATTTTGTTGCCTTTTTAGGAGATTTTTAACTGATCCATACAGATATATGTGTTGTCTATTTGTGTTTTCTTAATTACACTGCTGAAATAACCAGCAACATTAAACCCCCTTGGTTATTCATTAGCAGCTCCCATTAGTTACTTGTTGTTAGCTATGGTGATTATGAGCTTAAGGCAGTGGCAGAGTCAAAAGTTCTGGCAAACATGCACTGCACATGGCAGATACGGAACTGTCCAATAGCGAGCCTTGTTGTGCTACAAAGTGCCTCTGGCAGCTCCAGTTGAAAATACTTGGCAACCAATATGAACTCTTGGTTTAGTTTATTATGTGTATGTGAAACACAGTGCCCTGATTTAACCTGTGATTGTTCAACGTTTAGCTTTCCTCAGCATGATGATGCCCAATAGAACTTATATGCGTCTCTAGAGTGCACAGAACCTTGACAACCATATGCTATGAGGAGTGCACTTACAAAGCAATTTTCACCATAGCACTAAGCAAAATTGTTGGAGGCAAAACATATTTGAAAACCTTAATGAATTTGGCTTTCTTACGTCCCCTTGGATTCTTTCGAAATTTGCTTCTGTGCTGTGAGCTGCTGCTGGAACACTGTAGTTGTATCCACAGCATAGACATACAGATCCAAACCGAAACTTTAATAAAGTTTATAATAGCTTTTATCAGCATTCATTATCTAACTTGTTAGAAATTGGTGATATATTCCTTTTTATACTATGTTCCCTTTATTTGCACATTCAGTGTTGGTACATTGTGATTTTAGCTTTGTCATGGTGTCTGGCTTTTGCAGCTTCTCATCCATCCAGGTATAAAGGTAAAAGCAGGGCTTATCATAGATCTGTACCTGTCAACCAAATGGTTGTATTCATTTAGAAGTAAAATGAAAAAAAAAAAACGTTCTAGCTTGTATCTATTACTCTCAGAAGTTGGATAAAATGGACCGAATTTATACCTCCCTGACATGAACTCTAGCAGCCACAAAGTATATCTCCAAAATGGTAACTTTACAGGAGAAAGAAAAAACCTACTTTACTTTTAATGTAAGTCAGTGGAACCAGACTTTTTTTCCAAGTCATTTTGGGTCATTTCTTTTGGTCCATTGATCATGAAATTTACATATAATATGAAGGGCTAATTATTTCAAAAACTGAAAAACATCAAAAATGGAGATACAAGGTTTTGTTGCGACAACAGCGATATGGCAAATTGTGCATTGTTCCATGGTGTTAATTAGTTGTAGAAAGCATAGCTCACTCTATCATTATAATAAGCAAGTGAAAAACATATAATGAATTCCTATAATGGATTTGCTGCTTCCTCTACTGAAAAACTGTCCGAGTGCCCACCCAGCACAACACACTTGCTGCCTGGCTTGGATGAGGGGGTGTAATTGGTGGTTATAGGTGGTATACACTAGTGATGGGCATTCTGGGACTTTTTCAGCATGTCCTATCATGTCCCAAAGGGCTCTTTAGTCAATAGCACTAACAGTTTTTGCAAACTCAGCCCAATCCTCTGGTATTGTAACCTATTATTGTTTTATAATCTAAATTGCTAAACATCTTGCTCTACCTTATAATTAACCAAATAACATTATTTAGCTGCTGTCGGAACAAAACCATACCTCCAAAATGATCACCTTACAGGAGACGGAAAAAAAAACATACTGTACTTTTAACAGGCATTTTCAAATCATGTTACAAACTGAAAATTAAAATAAATATTGATAAATAAATACTATACATAAATAGATAATACACAGACATTCTGTGACAATTATAAAGGATGTTTAATGGGAGTTAAGTGTAGTTGCAACCAAGTACTAAAGTAAATATAAATAGTATGTATTGTTACATTTGAACAGCTATTATAGATGAAAGTATATGTATGAGATCTGTAAACTGAAATAAATTAAAATGCATATGCACACTGACTAGACCAAAGTGGAAAAGGTTCTTATTCAGAGGAATTATGGCATGGGATATACAGTGGTTATGTACATTATAATGTGCGTAATGTGTGCAAAAAGTGCAACTAATAGATTGTTCAGAAATTTTGTACGACTTTTTTCCCCTTTTTCCCTTTCATTCGATATGAGTTGTTGATAAACGTGTCAAAGTAATGTGTTCATTGATATTCAAGCTAGAGATATTTAATATATCTGTGAGTTCCGGATGTGTGCATTACCTTTTGTTTTACCTTGACAGCTTTTACAGCATGGCTAACATTTCACACCTAGAGAGGGAAAGCTGGTGTTTGCTATTTTGGTATTCCTTCAAATAGCTTACACATTCTAGGCTTTGATTGTTTTTTTTTTTTTACAATGCACCACCAACAGTTCTCAAACCTTTTTAGTCTAAGGCCCCCTTTGTGATTAGTAAGTGCCCATGGTGCCCCCCACCATCCCTTACTTCCTCCTGCCCCTTCTTGCTAGACTTGGCTGTATATCTAAAGTGTGAAGATATGCATACGAATCTTTACTGGATGCACTTCAAGTGAGCGTGTAATAGCATCTAATGATTTGAACTGTCTTCAGAAAAAGGGCTCTTCAACTCCAGTCAGCTTCCAACGTTTACTTAAAAGAGCCAGCTTAAAAGACGACTCATATGTGAACGACACATCACTGGTGTGCCCTCATTTTTTGGACAAAGTAAAGTTCTCTATTATGTATTAAATTATCTATTTTCAAAAGTCAAAGTGAATTAAATTCAGAAAGTCTGGCGTGGATCCAGTCATTGATATAGCAGTATAATATAGCAGTGTGTGGCAGAGGCCAGCGGTCTTCATCTTCCAGCATCTACAAAAAAGGGAAATATTAGTTTGGGGTTGTTTTATTGAAATATGGTGTTCAGTGAAAGGTAATAAGACCTGAAACTCAAGTGTGGTGAGCATCTTTGCCATTTTATCAAACTTCTTCTGGTTGTTTGAAAGGAATACATCTCCTATTGCATTGTTCAAGCCCTAAAAATCAGAAGCAGATGAATTTGGGCTTTTTACAGACATCAGTGTCTAAGCTTTTAATAAGTGTTGCTTTAAGGAACTGCTAGTATTATTCTTATACATTTCTATAGAAATCTATGCAACATCTATGCAAATTATTCTGTAGCCCCCCACATGTTTGATGGGACACATTACGCACATCAATGCTGGTAGCTTTGAAGAGTCTACCAACAGGCCTAAAATAAAATCAAGAAAGAAACTTGATAAAAAAAAAGGTTAAATCAAACTTGAGAATTGATTCAATGCTAAAACCAAATACATTGCTGTCTGATGTCTGATGCAGTGCATGCAGACAGGCAAGGATATGTCTGTGTTCACCTGTAGATGAGATATTTTGTCTAGAAGGTCGAAAATCAAGTCGATTTATGACAAACTCTAGATCTAAATTTAATCTAAATTATTTTTTTATGCATGACACCCCAGTATCAATAGCCAACTGCAGACTGTTCATTGAGATGTTAACACAGATCACCAGTATTGATGTATAATTTCACTCAAGGTGGTTTAGAGTTCCTCACTTTTTTCCATATCTTTCATTTTCTCTCTCACACACACTAACCTCATTTTTTTCAATTTACAGGCAGGATGCCAACGACTGTGTTAGGAAAAGTCTACGCTCCTGATCCTGATGACTGGGACAACAAAACATACGCCTTTGAGGGACATGTTCCTAAGTAAGAGCTCTTCACTCCTCTTGTCTCTTCATTCTCTTTTTATTCGTCACACTTTCTTGCTTCTGCCTGCCTTTTCTTCTCTCTTGCCCACGTTGTTTCATCATTACATTCTCATTTCTCTTGTCAAACCACTCCTCTCACTTTTCACAGCTCTTTCTCTCTTTTCTTCATATTGTACTGTGCAAAAATCTCAGACAAGTCTTTGTTTGTTTCCCCTCAAAATGACAAATACAACTTAATTAGTTTGCAGCATCACTTAAACAACTAAATATAATGCGAGTGTCAAACCATACAGTCTACCAGTATAAAATACATTTTCTCTTCAATTTGGCAGGTATTTAGCCATAAATATTCATGGGATGCAAGAACTCTAGTCTAATACAGTTTTACCCATAAACTCTAAAGACTAATTAACATCAGTAATTCTGTAGTGCTCAGATGTGTTTCCCACTTTCTGTCTTATTAGTCTTACTACACTAAGAGAGGTCCTCATACTGTGGGTGGTGGAGTTCTGATTAGCTGTTGAACTTTCATATAAAGTAAACATTTCTGATTCTATATGAAGTAATTAGTATGATTTCCAGCAGAATGCATCACTGTAAAGAAAAGTCTCAGCTTCTGAATGAAGTGACAAAGCTCTCCAGGTTACTCTCGTTTTTCCAAAATAGACAGTAGCTCAGTGTCACCACTTGCTCATTCTGTAGGGAACAAATAAAATCTCATTTTGCCCTGTTTGTTTTGTACTTTGTCCCGTGTGGAGCTGCATCTCAAAAAGGAGCTCAAACTGAGTTATGGACATCTGAGCTCTGAGTGAAAGAGTTCAGAAAGTTTTAGCTACAAACTCTCTCCTTTTACTTTTCTAAAGTCACGGCTTGCCCATTTTGTGAGAAGCAAAGGACCTTTAGTAACACTTTACTGTATGGTACTGTTCATAAGGCTGCATGACACCTACATAAGCTTGTCATGACAACTGATATAACTCTACATAAATGTTTGTAAATGCTTATTCCAATAGGCATAATTTGCTATAAATGTTGCATTGGCAATTTTGAGCAAAGTTAGCTAAAGTAGCCTTTCTGACAGATGATGCCTACTGAAATAAGCGTTTATAAACATTTATATAGAGTTATGTCAGTTGTCATGACAAGCCTTTGTAGGTGTCATGTAGTCTTATGAATCTTACCCTACAGTAATGTGTTACCAGACCTTCTTATGGATAATCTTACCCCTCTTTTTTGCATGGCATGAATAATTTGTTGAATATTGCATATTTTTTGATTGTGAAAAAATCATGTCTGAATATTTTGCATTTTTTTATTTATTCAGACAACAATAAATAAATTCCATCACATGTATAACTGACAGCATCTTGCACTCTAAATGCAATTTTTTGGATGGCCAATGTATGGCATTGTTTTATGCACCCTCTGTTCAATTTTTGCGAACGTTCCACCAATCATGGCTGTCTCTGCCATTGGCATGATGATAACCAAGATGACAGAGCAGCTCTGTTCTAGCAAATAGAACTTTTCACAAATGCTACAAGGATCAGAATCTCCAAAAAGCAGCTCAAATGGAGCTGAAACAGGGCTGCAGACATCCGAGCTATAGCCTATGCTGAAGCTCTCAGTGTTTCAGCTTCTGAATGAAGGGATGAAGCTCTCCACGCTAGTTTTACTTTTCCAAAATGGAAAGTAGCCCAGGTCACTGTTTGCTTGTTCGCAGTGGAAGGATAGACAGAAACAAATGTGTATTTTTTCAGATCTGAAGCAAGAATTGAGCTTGATTCTCTCCTCTCTCTTAAATATAAAAGCTTTAATTCAATGGTGCCCAGTTCTAGTCTTTGAGATCTACCGCCCTGCACAGTTTAGCTCCAACCCTAATCTAACACACCTGATCCTGGTAATAAAGGCCTTCAGGGGCATCTGAATGTTAGAGTCAGGTGTGTTGGATCTGACCTCTCCAGGGTCTTGAAGACCAGCACCTGTGATTTAAGTACTGTTTATCTGATGGATGGGAACAGTTTTGTTGGTCTACCAGGTCTTGAATAGTTGGAATCCTTTTCTTTATATCCTTTCGTAACTCCAGCTTTGTAAAGTTTTTTTTTACCTTTTTTCTTTTAACTTTTAATTTCCCTATGCAAGTGGATTGTCTGATCTTCTCAAAAATATCACCTGAACAATACATATGGTGGTCTCTGACTTTTGCACAGTACTGTACACTTTTTCCATTCTCTGCCTGCTTATTGAAGTTAGGCACGTTGGCAAATACTCTGTGGATCTGTGTACTTTCAGATCCATTTGTGCGCCCAAGAAAGTGTGGATAAAGATCAGCTTAAAAAAATCTGTGCATTACATACCCAATTAAAACTTAAATCACAGGATCCAGCTTCTGAGCTGAAAGCCTGCCGGCCTTAAAAATCCTTTGTGTGTCTAATGAGTGTGTGTGGGCGTTTGTTCTAGTTTGGTTTGGAGGTTGAATGCCAGGTTAAAGGTAAATTTTAAGAAGCAATCAGGCTGGTGTCATTTTGTGCCTAGGCCCCTGAATTTTAAAGAGGCACAATCTTAGCTCTGACATTTGGCCCTTAGTTATCAGCCCGGCTAATTAAAGATGAGGAAAGCTTCTGGAGGGAGCTGTTTCCTTCTCTCTTCCATTTCTTTACCTCTCTAACTCTTCCCCTCCCCCTTTCCCCCCACCTCCCCCCATCTCTCAGGGTTCATGCTGCCCTCTTTAATCACCTCTCGTCTAATTTAAAGTGACATCTCATTTAGGCTGAATATGTATCCTTTGGTGCTCGGGCCTAGAGGTATTTGAACGAAATGCCAGTTTTCTGTTAATTCTGAAATTTGGTTTTTATCAGTTAAATGGTTTTGAAATTACCTGGTTCATAGCTGTACTCCTTTGAATTCAAGTTGCCTTTTATATTATCTCGGAGCAGATTACATATTACATAGTCTACAACATTTCATGTTACAAGTTTAATCATGTAATTTCTTGGGAAGTAAATGTATTCACCATTGCTTACAGCAGTATCACACTCACTTTCATCCCTTTTTTAACTGTAGTGAGCAATTTCTCAAATCTTTTTATAACCAGTGATCATAGAATCATTGAAGATATTCTCTCTGATATAACTCTCCTTAACTCTAGGCTTATTACTCATCTTAAGGGGCCAGTATCATGGCAAATTTCCACAACTTTCCACTTTTATTAGTTTTCTCAGAGTTTGATGTTGTATGTAAACATTGCTAAAGTTTAAAAGTTCCCTCAAAGTTCATGGACTCCATATATGGAAACTAAGCTGCAAAAATAGCCTGCACTGAATTTGTTGTTTTTGTGATGTCACAAAAACTAGCACATTTACATATCCTCCTATCCTGCCTACAGCAGTTTTAGCCTCGCCCATTCACACTGAAGAAATAAGAAGTGTTGAAGGCCAGAATGCTTTCTGAATGAGGCACAATACAGGACAGACAGTCAGAACAGACCTCATTTACATAAGTCAGTAACAAAACAGCCTGTTGAATTCTAGACTGGAAAATGATGATGTAAAAATTAAACTGACTGGGTTTTAGTACATAAAACCATACACACACACACACAAAGTACAGTGTAATATGTAAGACAATGAGCTGCGCATTACTGTTGTTTGCTAAGCAGAGTGAAATCACTGTAACATGCAGACTCAAGTGGCTTACAGCTTTTATAAAACGACAAAAACAAATGCGCATAATTGATTTTATAATGCTTCGGATGTGAATTAGTCATGTTTTAAAACCAAAACTATCCATTCTATAATTACTGAATTCACGAAGAGATGATAAAACACATACATGTTAAAACAGTTCTAGCAAATCATTCTGTTCAACATACCATAGAAGGTCTGCAGAGAGAAGACGAAGCTTTAACTGTGTGTGGAACGGTAAGATAACCTTGGTCTGTATTGCATTCGTACTTCAAATGAACCGAAGGTCTCCTCAGGCGTACTTGGCCCACTTATACCAAACATACCAGGTATGAAAACACCTTTAGTGCGGTTGCAGTAGCAGGCAACGAGTGCAGTTAAAATACCTCTTTTGTGGTGAAACTACTTTTTGGGTGGAAGGATTTGCCAGTATTGAAAATATGTGCTTTAAGTATTTGCTTTACTTTCTTTACTTTGCAAAACTGTGGTATAAAACAAATAGAACACTCAAGGTTGTGTGTCAGAAGGTAACAGATGATAATACTCTTCTTTATGTATTCTATTGCTTAATTATAACTGAATGCTCTTCCTCTGGCTTTGCAGTTACTTCATCCTAAACAAGCGGACAGGTTTTCTGGTCATAAAGGAGAGCGCTCCACCTGGGACCTACGAGTTCCAGGTGCGCGTGTCAGATGGGGAATGGCCAGATGTTGTGTCTAGTGTGATTGTGAAAGTACGAGAGCTACGTGACGACGTCATCTATAACTCTGCCTCCCTTCGTCTCGCAGGTACGTCTCAACTTTCACTATTAATGGAAACTTGTTACTATTCATGGTATAACAATAGTGAAGGAATGAGAACCTGTGTAATGTAGCAATAACATGTTTCATTAATATAGTACATTTTAAAGAGTCCTTCTGAGTTGGTATTTGTATATATTGAAATTGGTAAAATATGGGTAAATCTGGAAAGACAAAAATATTTTATTTGCACTAATTTGCCCTCCAGTTCCCTGCATGTACCAATCCATCATTAATTGATTTTTTATTTTTTTTAATATATTTTTCGACCAAAAGCTTGTCCCTACAATTACACTCTTAATAAAAATGTAATGTTTTAGTAAAGGCAATAGTTATATATACAACCTTGTTTCCAAAAAAGTTGAGACATTGAGCAAAATGTAAATAAAAACTGAATGCAGTGATGTGCAAATCATTCAAAACCTATATTTATTTGAAAACGGTACAAAGACAAATGCCCATATCAAGTATATGCGTGCACTTGAAAGACAAAGACAGACAAAGAACCATTTAAACATTCAAAAAATGTACTGTACTAGTTGTAGGCTTATGTGTCTGAACAACCTGAAGTCTGATGATTAAGTCATCACAGTGAACAATCTAAAAGTTTATTCCCTCTCCTAGAAAGTTGCTCTTCTGGGGAAGTGAGGTTTCCTTAGGCCACTGATGAAATGTTAATTGATGATAATGTGCGAAAACTCCAGATTAGCCTATTTTAATTGTAAATTGAGCATGTCCTAATAAGATTCCGAGGGCTTTAGAAACAAATTTCATAGGCTTTGAGGAGGGCTGACATAAGTTGATTTAAGCTGTTGCTGTCACATGATGGCACATATCTCCAGTAATGACACTGGTTTAGCTTCAGCATGCGTATCGGATCAGTCGGTGGAGTCGGCATTAGTGCTGGTCCTGTCTTGTGCTACTGTAGTAAAATCTACTGGCTCATCTGCATGTGGCTGGAGGCTTTACGTCCATCAGCATTTTAACAGAAGAGAGTACATTCCCCTGTGAGGGAGGCTTTGAAATTGGGTTACGGCTGGAGGAGTTTACGATTTGAGGGTTGTTAAAATGAACAACGAAAAAGGAGGAAGACACTGAGACAGAAAATAAGACGTCATAACCTACATAAGCTGGTAAAAGGATTTCAAGAACGGGAGCTTTGGAATTTAAGCACAGGACAGCTGTACAGTTTGTTTGTATATATTTGTGGCCTTAATTTTATGGTTTTGCACACGCTGGGGCAGCAATCTGTTCCGATCTTTAATTTCTGAGCGTCTTATTGGACTTTGCTAGCTATTATTATAGCGTGTTTTGTCAGATTGTTTAAGGGAGTTGGAAGAGATGGAAACATTAATCACATGTTTATTGCACTGCAATAAACCTGGAGTTTTAAAGGGCCAGTATCACGGAAAAGCAAATAGTGCTCACTTGAACTAAAAGAAGTTTGATAAACAGGTTTTGAAGTGTGCAGTTCATTCTCTAGGCCAAACTGACCATATATCATCATTGTCCAAAAAAAAAAAAATTACAAAAAACAAACAAGCAAAAAATTAATATTTTTTTACATCATTTGAACATATTACTGTTTATACAGTCAGAGACCTCTTTTTGTTTATTTTATTTCTAGTTGAAAGAGCAATAAAATAAGGTTTTTATTTTTCATCATCAAGTAAAAAGCACAAAAAAACATATATTTAACAACACTAAGTATAACTTCAAATTTTCCAGTATTTAGTGTGTCCACTCTTTGCTTTATTACAGCTTCCATTGTTTTCAGTAGACTTACCTTTAGTTTTTCCAAAAAATTGCTGCTTCTCATGATTCAAGTCATCCTAAACACATTCAGTGATGTTGAGGTCTGGACTCTGGGGTGGTCAGTCTACTGTTCTGAGAACACCAGCAGCTTTTTTTTTGTCACTTTTTATCTTTTTGTTTATCTGTTTCTCAGCAAGAGCTTCTTGACAGCTACACATTCTTTCAGACTCAAGGCATCTTCTAAAACTGGAAGGATAGACAGAAACACCTGTGTTTGTCCACTGTCCTTTATATTGTATAAGCATTTAATGTTGAATGAACCAATAGAAATGCTAATTTTTTACATTAACTTACATTAAGTTAATGCTTTTTTTCTGTAAAGTTACAATTTTGGATTTTTGTATTGTTGGACAGCAACAATATGTATTTTACTAGTCACAATACACTGTTTTGATTTCATTGTTTTTTGTGATGTCACAGAAAATTAACCCGTGCTCAGCCTATAGCACTTTAGTCTATTATAATATTTTAATTTAGCCATATAATTTCCTTGATTGATCTGGCAAAATATGTGACTGATGACGTAGCCAGCTAGACGTGTTTATATTTTCAGTGCAAATCAATGTAAAAGCGTTTCTCTTTTTGATCATATGGAGTTCGATCATGGATAAATGGCTTTAAACAGAAAATGTTCTACTATTTTTATGTGTTTATTATGTTGTGTGATTGCACAGTGAAGTAACAGTTGCTAAGCTTTATTGATTATTGTGTATTATTTTTAAATGATAGTTTCGGTTTAAATCTTCTTGTGGGTCACCAAAGGTTTTGTGGTTGGTTGTGAGGGCCAGAGATGCAAAAGGTTAGGAATTCCTGTTTTAAGTGACTAAGACAGATTGAAAATGGTCATCTAAACCTGAATTGTGACTGCTTTTGTCACATATGTGAACCTAAGGGTAAAAATCATTGTAAGAATAATGTGGGATATGAGTCTTTTAATTTAAAACCTGTTCTGTAATCTTGCTTGTTTTGCCTACAAATTGTACAAAAGTAAATATCTACGTGTACATGATACTTGTTGCATCATTTTCATTGACTCAATGTGGAAACTGTCCACATCATGATGTCATATAACCTTTTTCAAAGCACTTCAGCTACCCACCTATGAGCAAGCATTGCCCCATGCCAGTTTTCGTTTTCAGACAGCAGTGTCAACAGCTGTCAGTGCTGTACAATTGCCGTCAGGTTCAGTTTCACAGGCAGTTCAGTTTCTCTGTCTGTCTACAGAGGTAGGAGTGTGAGTGTATGCGCGTTCTTCTCGTAACAACCCCCGCCCCCTCGCACCAGGGCCCTATCCAAACACTCACTTTGAATCCCTGTGTGGAGGAAAATGGAAAGCCCTACTCATAGTATTAGTTGCAGCCTCCTTGACATTTGAAATCCCATTTCAAGAACAAATGTTGAAGGCAATAAGGCCCTTTTTAATTCTGCTTTGGAGAGATTAAGGCTTATTGTGTGCAAAACTTGTGGGTGAAATTGATTGAAAGGTGAAATATGTGGTAAACCGGGATGCAGAGTAAGTCCTTGAAACACCCACATCAGCTCACGCAGATGAGCCAAAATTTTCACACACACACACACGCACACTAAAATACACATACCAAAACACAATCTTGCTCCTTCATCCTCCTAACTCCCTCTTTCCCAACTCGCATACACATTGCATTCTCCACATTCTCCAGCAATACGCGCCATGAAAAGCCCTTGGCTGTTTGAGGTGGAACTTTTTAAGGCTGCTAACTGCTTATCCGACTGCAGGCTTATCTTTAAAAAAATGTAAAATGTCTCATCTCTTTTGATCCTCATCTCCCTGGCTCGCCCAGAATTCTGCTGCCACCCCCACAAGCCCACCCACCCCCCAGTCGGACTTTGTGGGATCAATAGAAAGAGAAATTGGGAAAATATCTGCAGTCGTTCAGTGGGATTAGCGCTCCTATCCCTACGCTTTCTCAAGGTCCTATTGACTGCCACTCAGTCGCCATCGCCCTCCAAGCCACTGCAGGAACAAGTGGTGCTTTAACAGGAGGCCATAGTTTTCACAGTTTTCAAAAATTCAGAGTTCAGTTACCCTCTGCTCTACCCACAGACGTGTTCTTTCATAGCAACTGATGCTAAGTTGGACAAGCTTTAGTAGTGTAGCAGTAGCAGTGACAAAAACCCCATTCAACCTATTTTCAATAGGTTGTAGTGTAGATTTGCTACAGTCATATGCAAAGGTTTGGATGACCCTGGTCAAATTCCATGTTTTATTGATTTTCTAAGTGAAAATACGTTAACACTCCCTTTACAGAGAACACACTTCTGCACATTTTAATGCACAATAACTGTTTATTTGCTGAACTGAACATTTTTGGAAAAAATAAAACAGAAAACGTGGCCTGTGCAAAGCTTATGGCATAGTGGTATTTTATATTTTATTTTCTCCAATATTTCCTGGCAATACATTCATGAGATGAGCAAGGACAGATCAACTGATGTGTGTGGTTATATTTATATATATATACAACAGCTCAGCCAATCAGATTTTCAAATTGCTCCAGCAGCACTGCTATGTCTGATCCACTCGTACCAGCACAACACACACTAACGTAAACGTTTTTACCCGCACACCACCCCCACGTCAGTGTCACTGCAGTGCTGAGAATAATCCACCACCCAATTGTACCTGCTCTGTGGTGGTCTGGTGGGGGTCCTGACCATTATAGAACAGGTTGAAAGTGGACTAGCAAAATAAACCAACAGATTTGTTACAGTTTGTAATTGTAGAACTTCAAAGTGCACCTATATGGTTAGTGGAGCTAATAAAATGGACGAGTGTAGATACAAGGAGCTGTTCCCAATAAAGTTCTTGGTGAGTGTATTTGTGACTTATGTGAATGTGAATAATTCACGTGTGGATCTACGAAGGTGCACGTGGGGGAATACGTGTGTGTGTCTTTGCATGTTTAGCGTTCCAACCATATTTGATAACCATGGAAACAGAGAGTGGCATGAACCGCATCTGAATCAAACCCAGTAGTCATCCCAGGCTGTCAGGCTGAGTCCATGGCTCGTCTGGATTTAGGATGGGAATGGACAGTTGGATACTGTGTCACTGGTCCCCTCCACCCAGTTCCATTTCCGTTCAGCTAATCACCGCCTCTGTCTGGCCTCTTGCCCACATCTCCTGTCTGACT